TTAATCTTTAAAAAATTGTGGATCACTATGTTGTACACCTGAAATTTATATAATATTGTTCAATCAACTATACCTCAATTTTTAAAAGAGAACAAAATCCTGCCGTTAGAGAACATGGATGGACCTGCAGGGTATAATGTTTAGTGAAGAAAGTCAGACAGAGAAAGAGAAATACTATATGTTTTCACTTATGTGTGGAATCTAAAAATCAAAACAAATGAACAAATATAACAAAACAGAATCAGACTCACAGATACAGAGAACAAACTAGTGGTTACCTGAGGGAAGAAGAGGGGTGGCGGGGAGCAAAATAGGTGAAAGGGATTAAGAAATACCAATGACCAGTTATAAAATAAGTAAGTCACAGGGATATAATGTACACCACAGGGAATATAGTCAATATTTGATAATACTTTGTTATGGTGTGTAATCTATAAAAATATTGAATCACTGTGTAATACACCTGTAACTAATATAATATTGTAAGTCAACTATACGTCAATTTTTAAAAATTATTAGGTGTTCAAGGAACTTGGAAATACATACATACAGGGAAAAGATGATACAGTATAAGGAAATCCATAAATTTAAAAAAATCATAAAATTAGCATTTTCAATAAAGAAATTTTACTATCATAAAGATGGTTGAGCATTCAAGATAAAATATAACGTTTGGGAATTTTTTTAAACGTAGGAAAGAAGGAAATAAGAAATTCTATGAAAATCATATCCAATATGAAAAAAGAAAATAATTCAATGTATCAAGGTAATAGCAGATTAGATACTGAAGAATAAATTTCTGGTAAACTTAACAATGTAGTCATAGGTGGGTTGAGTCAGAGATTACGTTTCAAGCCTGGCCATTGTTAAATGATCTGAAGAGACAGCTCTAGTCCGAAAATCTTCCAGGAAGCCCAATTCCTCCCCCAGCTGGGCCCCCCACACTGACTTTTTTAAGGTAAGAAGAGCCTGTGTGAGTCACCAGGTGTCCGTCCCGTGGTCAACTTGTACACGACATTAGTTGGGCCACCATCATAACATCCTGTGTGCTTTTCAGGTTTCCTGGGTCACCGCCTTCTCTTCAGCAGAAGCAGTTCTGTGCTGCCCACCATCACCAGCCTGGCGTGTCTTGGTGGGTCAGGCAGGGAACTCTCTGGTGGACACACTGGGCTGGAACACTGAGTCCTCCACAGCAGAGAGCCCTGCTTCCATGGGGGCAAGGTGGACCTTGATGGCTGAGTGCATCTTCAGCCGAGCACAGTCCTGGCCAACGAGGCTCCCAGGCCAGGTGGAAGCAGGAGTGGGGGGCCAGGTCTTACATGAGATGGATTGTCCGTCATAAGCCTTTCTTTCCAGGGTTCTTCTTGATCCAGAGGATCTGGGCACAAGGGGGTGAGTCTTTTCCCCAAACCTTGGGTTGCCATCCACCTCAAATAAGACCTTCCTGTAATAGGAGGGGATATAGCACAGAAGGTAGGGTGGTGGGTTGACGGTGGGACGTCATAACAATATGAGGGTGAGTCTCTTGGGAAGTAGAAAGTGGGGCCCAGGAAAGTCTAGCCCCCGATTCTGGTCCAGAAACCCTTCCTAGACACTCTTCTTCCCTCTGCTGAGCCAGGCTCTAGGGCACCAATAGAAGATTGTGATGCTCAGACCTGGCGTGTCTGGGAGGAATCAGTGTTATCGGAGTGAGGGAAGGAAGCAGTGCCAGAAACAACAGCCCCTCAGAGGACAAGGCAATAACTCAAGTCCTCCAGCAGTTCCATGAGAGCAGGCACTGCAGGTACTACTGCTGCTGTCCTGCTTTCAGAAGAGGGGGAGAACCGTATACCATGCCCCTGAGACTCCAGGAGGTTGTGTTGTAGGCTCCACCGTGTCACGTGTTTCTCGCGTGAGCTGACATCATTTCACTCAACGCAGGTTATTCTTCTATTCATTGTCTACTCTGTCTTGTCTTATGCAACTAATTTTACATTATCAACATCTAGTACGAGTCCGCTAGTCGGCACTTGCTCAAAGTTCTCAGCAGCTGTTTTTCTTGTAGGAGAAGCCATGTCTCTGTGGTGTAGGAATCTCCATGGGGCATGGCTTCCCCTGGGTTGGAAAGGAGCCTTAGAGACGTGGGAAGGAGGAGGAACCTCTGAGCACAGGGAGGGGAAGGGGCTCCCCATTTTCCTCTGTAAGCTGTGCCTCCTTCTCCCCCAGGTGGTCAGGACAAGCCCTCCCTGTCAGCTCGGCCAAACCCTATGGTTCCTCAAGGGCAGCAAGTGACTCTTCAGTAGACTCCCATCTCGGCTTTGACAGGTTCAGCCTGTACAAGGATGATGGAGCCCATGTCCCTGGGCTCCCAGACATAATATTTCAGAACAGCTTCCTCATGGGCCCTGTGACCTCAGCACATGCAGGGCCCTACAGATGTCACGGTTATTACAGTCACTTCCCCTCTGTGTGGTCAGCACCCAGCGAGCCCCTGGAGATCGTGGTCACAGGTCAGAGAGCTCTTGTCCAGAATAGCTACCCGTTGAGCCAATCTTCCTAATCCCAAAGTTTCCTGGTGGAAGTGTCAGTCAGGGTTCAGTCAGAACAACAGGAAGCACTCCAAGTATTTTAGATTAAAGAGTATTTAATGCAGGAACTTGGGTACTATAGTGGGCAGAATAATTGTACCCCATGATGTCCACATCATAATACTCCAAATCTATGAATGTGGTATGTTACATTCCAAGGGAAACGAAATTGGATATGGAACTAATGTTGGTAAGCAGTTGACCTTGAGATGGGGAGATTATCCTGGGTTATCCAGGTGGGCTCAGTGTGATCACAAGGGTCCATATAAGAGAAAGAAGGAGGCAGGAGCGTGAGCATCAGAGTAACAGCGCATAAGAAAGACGCCACCCACCAGCGCTGGCTTCGAAGATAGAGGACAGGGTCATGAAACCAGGAATTCGAGCTGCCTCTCCAAGCTGGAAAAGGTACAGGAACTGATTCTCCCCTAGAGCTCCAGAAGGGAACACAGCCCTGCTGACACCTCGATTTTAACCCAGTGAAACCTGTGTCAGACTTCTGACTCCAAAACTACAAAATCATAGATTTGTGTTCTTTTCAGCCACCATGTTTGTAGCAATTTCTTACGGCAGCAATAGGTAACCAATACAGGTATCCAGGTGACGGATGAGTTAGGAAACCAAACAGGGGAAGCGAGGCTGCCCAGCAATAGGTAAGGGCAGGACGCTGGTGCCACCACTAGGCTGGAGTGACATAAGGAGGGGGCAGTGTTCATAGTGCCAGTCTCAGGGGTGCCCCCACGGAAGCAGGGACCATGGAGAAGGCACGGGCATGGCAGGAGATGAGCCCCTGCCCTGCCCCCCATCCACAGGCACAGGCTGGAGGGACACTGAGAGGTGCTGTAGTCCCTGCCTTACTGCTTAATTTTTACCTCCTACCAGGGGTTCTGATGTGTCAAAAAGAACATGAACCTGGGGGCTTCCCTGGTGGCGCAGTGGTTAGAAATCCGCCTGCCAACGCAGGGGACGCGGGTTCGAGCCCTAGTCCAGGAAGATCTCACATGCTGCGGAGCGACTATGCCCGTGAGCCACAACTACGGAAGCCGTGCACCTAGAGCCCGTGCTCGGCAACAAGAGAAGCCACTGCAGTAAGAAGCCCGCGCACCGCAACGAAGAGTAGCCCCCGCTCGCCGCTACTAGAGAAAGCCCGTGTGCAGCAACAGAGACCCAATACAGCCAAAAATCAATAAATAAAATAAATAAATTTATTTTTAAAAAGATAAATAGGGCTTCCCTGGTGGTGCAGTGGTTGAGAGTCCGCCTGCCGATGCAGAGGACACGGGTTCATGCCCCGGTCCGGGAAGATCCCACATGCCGCGGAGCGGCTGGGCCCGTGAGCCATGGCCGCTGAGCCTGCGCGTCTGGAGTCTGTGCCCCGCAACGGGAGAGGCCGCAACAGTGAGAGGCCCGCGTACCGCAAAAAAAAAAAAAAAAAAAAAAAAGATAAATAATTTCTAAGGCTCCAATGTATAGCATGGTGAGTATAATTAACAATACTGTATTCTATACTTAAAAGTTGCTGAGACAGTAGATCTAACCACACACACACACAAAGAAATGGCAATTATGTGAGGTGGTAGAGGCATTAGCTAATGCCACAATGGACCTCGTTCCGCAGCACCGAAGTGTAACAAATCAACATACCGTGCACCTAAACTTACACAATGCTATGTCAGTTACATCTCCATAAAGCTGAGAAAGAGTGATGCCTTGCAATGAAAATGAGACAGCCAGTAGAAAGTCTGATGTGAAATATTTGACTTCTCATACTTGAAGAACTAGTAATAGCCAGGTATCTGTAACCAAATTGATCTGTCTGCCCATCTGTCTATCTACCTACCTACCTACTTATCTACCTATCTATCTAATCTATATTCTCTATCAATCCACCATCTATCTATAGATTACAGGTTTAAATATAGATACAGATATAGATATAGGAAGTTCTTTCTTTAGAGATGGTGAATACCTCCTGAAAAACAATTCCTCTGCATGCTGGCATCGAGATAATCCAAAGCATAAGAGCACACTGCCTGCCTGATTGAGCCCAAACTTGGTCCATGAATTCCGGGGAGGACATGTGGATCCGTAACAGCCAAGGCCACTTGGCTTTTGACTGACGGGTCAATGAAGAAATACCTCTGTCTGTATGGCACCCATCTAATATTCTGTCCCAAGCTCTTCCATTTAGATGTGGGATGTTGTCCAAAGAAGGATTTGAGCCCCATTAGACACTGGTTAAGGAAAACACTCACTTCTCATCTGAAACATAAACAGGGAGATTGATCTCCTCTTAGACTCCACCCAAGAGCTCCCCAAAATGAAGTTCTTTGGAAAGGAACCATTCCTGTGGAGCAATAGATGTAGAAATTCTCTGATGAGCAACTCTGCTGTCATATTTCCTGTGGATCTTACTGTCTCATGAGAATCTGTCATCTGCTGACGTGCACCAACAAGTGGCTAACGGGGCTGAGGCTGGCTGTGTCGGAACCATGGCCCCCAGAGACACCACCCTCTTCTGCCTCGGTGAGTCCTCAAATGCAAGTGGGTTAGAGGGAAAGATGGGGGGATCCCCAAATAGTCAAGGTCTCTCTCAACATGAGAACTCAGTGATTTTAGGAGCTGCAGAGGAGATTCTTATCTCCTTAGTGGAGAGAGACGGTCTTTGCCCAGGTATCTGTAACTACATCTGCCCAAGTCTCAACTCCATGCTAGCCTGTAAGGCTCCATGATCAAGTGGTCAAGTTGACCTTGTGGGGTTCATTCAACCCATGCCATGCTGTCTGGAGACCCATGATGGTTCCAGAGTTCCTACAGATGAGAGCCTCAGGGCTGGAATCTGGAAGATAAAACTAAAAGATGTCTTGTTTACTATGTTTGCTGTAGAAGAAAGAAAGGTCAACTGTGGGACTTCCCTGGCAGTCCAGTGGTTAAGAATCCACGCTTCCACTGCAGGGGGTGTGGGTTCGATCCCTGGTCAGGGAAATGAGATCCCACAGGCCCTGCGGTGTGGCCAAAAAATAAAATCATTTTTTAAAATGCCACCTGTGTGTCATTATGTTGGGTGGTTTGTAATCAAGACTGGAGATGTGCGGGTTGAGTTTTCATGGCTGCCTCTCTTCCAGTGCTCTGTCTTGGCCAGAAGATTGAGGCACAGGATGGTAAGTGTTGCCCTAAGTCTCCTCCAGTCGCCCTATACCCTCATGGCAGCTCCAGGATAGAAGAGCAGGAGAAGCAGTCTAAAGCCCAGACGAATTCCAATTTTATTCTTTGTTCTAGCTGTCTCTGCTGTGCTCCCCTTGCATAACTTCCACCTCACTCTGGTATCTTGGGATCCCTCAAACGCATCGTGCTCAGACCTGGATTTAGCCTTTGCCTCTGTTAGGCTGACTGTCCATCAGAGGTGTGCATCTTACTGAATGTTCACGACTGCAGGGATGAGAAAGTCGGGAACCATCTTCCATTGTCCAGCAGCCTCCCTATATCAAATGTACCTGCTTTCACAACCTAACTCTCCCCACTTCTATCCACTTTGCTTCATTTAAAGGGACACTGCCTTAGAGAACTTTACGCAAGTAGCTTCAACTCTCAGAACCAATTTATCTATAAAAGAGAAATAAAAATAATAATGGAATCTATTTCATTGGATCATTGTGAGGCTTAATCGAGATAAACCATGTAAATAAAGTCAGTCACGTATTTGGTAAGTGTGTTACCTGTGATGATGAGGATGAAGGTGATCACGGGGGATAAAAAAGGTACTTGGACTCTATATGAAGGCCCAAGTCTCCACTTTCCTTGATTCATTACTTTTTTTTTGGCTGAGGTGGGTCTTCGTTGCTGCGCGCGGGCTTTCTCTAGTTGTGGCGAGCGGGGGCTACTCTTCATCGCGGTGCGCGGGCTTCTCATTGCCGTGGCTTCTCTTGTTGTGCAGCACAGGCTCTAGGCACACGGGCTTCAGTAGTTGTGGCACGTGAGCTCAGTAGTTGTGGCTCACGAGCTCTAGAGCACAGGCTCAGTAGTTGTGGCGCACGGGCTTAGTGGCTCCGCGGCATGTGGGATCTTCCCTGACCAGGGCTCAAACCCATGTCCCCTGCATTGGCAGGCGGACTCTTAACCACTGAGCCACCAGGGAAGTCCTGATTCATTACTTTTTTTTTTTTTTTTTTTTTTGCGGTACACAGGCCTCTCACTGCTGTGGCCTCTCCCGCTGCGGAGCAGAGGCTCCGGACGTGCAGGCTCAGCAGCCATGGCTCACGGGCCCAGCCACTCCGCAGCATGTGGGATCTTCCCGGACCGGGGCACGAACCCATGTCCCCCGCATTGGCAGGCGGACCCCCAACCACTGCGCCACCAGGGAAGCCCCTGATTCATTACTTTTTAATGCTAATTAATGATACAACATAAGGTTTTCTGAGAAGACGCACTTACTTTATTTACTCTCCTATCTTCCCCAATGAGTAAGCCAAGTTCTATCTAAAATGGATGCTTAAATTATAAATAAAAATGTGACTTTGGGCTAAAAAATAAAATAAGAAATAAAGGGACACTGCCTTAGTCGCACCCTCCTGTAGAACCTGCATATTCTTCTGTAGTACAGTAGCAAGCACTGAGCAGTACTACATTGCTGCTGTATATTCTGTCGCCCCAACTACCTCGTCCTCCTAAGGGGTGAAACCACTTGTCCATCCATGTCTCCTTTCTTCCAGCTCCTTCTAAAGACTGTAGCCTGGATTATTTGTGTCTTTAAAATACGAATATATTTACCTCCCTCTTAAAGGTCCTCAGTAGTCAATCTTCAGATAAACCTACCCACTTCCCCAGGTCTCTCAAGCTCTGCCCACCTGGCTTGTGACTACCCGTCCAGCTCACCTGCCACTCTCCCTCTGACTCTCTCTGCTTTTCACCCGTGCTGACCTTAATTTAGCTTCTCCTTCACTCCTTGCACCTTATTAACTCGGGGATGTCCTCCATTGTCCTTCTATCTAACTGCAAGGCTCCAAACGTTCCTATCCACGTTGCCTAGGCAAATTTTTTTTTTTAAGGCTGCACTGGGTCTTAGTTGCAGCATTCTGACTTCTCAGTTGTGGCATGTGGGCTTCTTAGTTGCAGCATGCATACAGGATCTAGTTCCCCGACCAGGGATCGAACCTGGGCCCCCTGCATTGGGAGTGCGGAGTCTTACCTACTGCGCCACCAGGGAAGTCCCTGCCTAGGCAATTCTTCCTCATCCTCACATAGCAGCTGAACGCTCATGTCTGTTATCAGATCTCCAAGTTCTACACCTTCAGAACTGCAGACCATACATCATGACCTACAGTTGCATCCTGGTTTATTTTTTAAATTAATATCTGACTTTTTTCTACATCATCATTCTTAAAGGTAGGGGTCTGTTTAGGTCAGCATTTCTCAACCTCAGTACTATTGACATTTGAGACTGGATGATCCTTTGTTTTAGGGGCAGTCCTGTGAAGTATAGGATATTAAGCAACATCTCATCCTCTACCCGCTACATGCCAATAGTATCTTCCACCACAACTGTGACAGCCAAAGATGTCTCCAGATATTGACAGACTGTCCCCTGGCAGGGAGAACTGTCTGTCTCCTGTTGAGCGCCACTGGTTTAAGCCATGATAGTAGATAAACAATGTGCTGAGTTAATGGAGGCATCTCTCTGTGTATCTCGGAATAACAAATACGTGGGAGGTATTGGTGAGTGAACGCTACTGGACGTAAGGAAGTCCTGCAGGGCTCGTCTTGCTTCACAACAGTCCTGCTGAGGACGGCAAACTCCCTTGTTTCCCCTTCACAGAGCTGCAGTTGAGCACATCACTATCAGGTCTAAAACAGATGATACACCTTGACAAAGGGAACCAGCAGATTCTGGGTATCCCTCCCCCCGTTTGCTAGTTTCTGTATAGGGGTTAAAGCCAAGGACAGAAGCTTCAACATGCAAAGTCACTCGCTTAACGCCACTCCGTGTGAATGCACTGGTGCCAAGAAGCTAACCCGCACCTTCGGGTACCCCAAAACATTCCCAAATCCCGTTCCATCCTAAACCGCACTCCCAGAGCGGGAGTTTCCAAGTCCCAGCCTTTCCGCCCTCTCTCACAGAACTAATCACCATATCCGTCAGACACTTGGCTGTCCCCCACACTGCATTCTCTAACTGCTGCAGGAGAGACAGCTCTCCCCCATCTGCAGAGGAGCTGGAGTGAGACAGTCCTAGTTTGCCAGACCAGGCTGCACCACTCTTCAGTTTGTGGTCTTGAGCAATGGGCACGGTTTCCCCAAGCTTCAGCACCCTTACGTTAGAGTGAAGAGCAGAATTGCATTCTCATAAGGATTACCATGGCAACAAAACACCAAACAAACTGCCGGGCAGACCAGCGGTTGCTAGGGGCTGCAGAGAGGGTAGGATTAACGTGGATGGGGTCTCCTCTGCGGGGCGATGAAAATGGAAGTAGACGGAGGTGATGACTGCACGACACTGTGAATGTACTAAATGCCACCGAATTGCATACGTTAAAAATGGTTAACCTTACGTTACGTAAATTTCATCTGAATAAAAAATATATATAACAAGGAAGGAATTCAGTTCCTCAAAAAATCCTTCAGTTCTTAAAAGCTAAATGTCCAATCCAGCAATTCCACTTGCATATATATAACAAAAGAAATTGAAAGCAGGGATTCTAACAAGATATTTATACACCCATGTTCATAGCAACATTATTCACAATAGCCAGAAGGTGGAAACAACCCAAATAGCCATTGACATGAATGTATAAGTAAAACGTGGTCTATACAAACAGTGGAATATTATTCAGCCGTAAAAAGGAAAGATATTCTGACATGGGCTACAACATGGATGGATCTTGATGACATTACACGAAGTCAAATATGCCAGACACAGAAAGACAAATATTGTGTTATTCCACTGACACAAGGTACGTAGGATAGGGAAATTCATAGAGACAGAAAGTCAATTAGAAGTGACCAGGGCCTAAGGAAAGAGAGAGTGGAGAGTTGCTGCTTAATGGTTACAGGGTTTTTGTTTGAAATCATGAAAAAGTCCTGAAAGTAGATGGTCGTGATGGTTGCACAATAGGGTGAGTGTAATTAATGCCACTGAGCTGTGCACTTAAAATTGGTTTACTGCTGCTTCCCACTAGCTATTTTACATTTGGTAGTGTGTATGTGTCGATGCTACTCTCACTTCGCACCAGCTTCCCCCTCCCTTGCCAAAAAAACGGTTTAAATAGTAAATGTTGTGTTTAATAACACATTTTATTTCACCACAATTAGAAAATACTAAAAACAAATATTTTAAAGGCAGGAAATATAAGTCCATCACACCTTAATTTATTTGTTCCCCGCTAGTGAAAGAAAGAAGTATGGTTTCTCCATGGCAGGGCACCTGAGTCTGGGCTCTATTTTCTTCTAGGGAATCTTTCCATTCCTACCATATCTGCCACGCCCGGTTCTGTGATTCCCTGGAATGAGTCTGTGAAGATCCTGTGTGGGGGAACTCCTGAGTCTTACCTGTACCAACTGGAGATCCTGGGAAACTCCACATACAAAGTGGTGGAGAAGAAATGGGGATTTCAGAAGACAGCTGAGTTTGTCATTAAACACATGGATACAAATACTGCAGGACGTTATCAGTGCCGATACAGAAAACAGTACAGCTGGTCAGTGCATAGTGAAGCCCTGGAGCTGGTAGTGACAGGTAAGGCCTGTCTCTGACCCTCAGCTCTTTTTCCTTGCTTATCTTTTCAGAGATGCTATTTTTAGAACAGTTTCAGATTTCCAGGGAAACGGAGGAGATACAACAGAGTTCCCACATACCCAGCACCCAGGTGCGAACATTTTCCTTTAGTATGATACACCCCTTACCATTAATGAACCAATATTGATACAGTATAATGAGCCAACGTTCATTGAGATTTCCTTCGTGGTTACCCAACCTCCTTCATCTATTCTGGGATCCCATCCCACACTGCATTTAGTCGTCATGTCTCTTTAGTTCCCTCTTGGCTGTGGAAGTTGCTCAGACTTTCCTTGTCTTTGATGACCTCGACAGTTTTGAGGGGTGCTGCTCTGGTGTTTTTCAGGATGCCCCACTATTGGACGTTGTCTAATGTTTTACTCATGGTAAGACAGGGGCTATGGATCACGGTGAAGATGACCACCAAGGCCCAGTGCCATTTTTTTTTTTTTTTTTTTTTTTGCCTACCCCGGCCTCTCACTGTTGTGCCCTCTCCCGTTGCGGAGCACAGGCTCTGGACGCGCAGGCTCAGCGGCCACGGCTCACGGGCCCATCCGCTCCGCGGCACGTGGGATCCTCCCGGACCGGGGCACGAACCCGCGTCCCCTGCATCGGCAGGCGGACTCTCAACCACTGCGCCACCAGGGAAGCCCCAGCGCCATTTTTAATCATATCATAGCAAGGGTACGTACTATACCAGTGAATACGGCTGTTGACGCTGAGCTCGCATACCCGGCTGAGATGGTGTTTGTCAGGCTTCTCCACTGTAACACGTCTCTTCCTCCCACCCTCCCTTTCCATGTGGAAGGAAATCACTATATGCATACCTAAGGAGTGAGGAGTTACGCTCCTGCGGTATGCGTCCAGCCCTCAGTTTGAAGCTCTGTCCTCAGGGTGGCCTAACCCCGTGTTTCTAGAAGGTTGCACCCTGAGTTTCCAGGTTCTTCTACCTTTTCTTCTTATACAAAAAATAAAAAGAATATCCTTCAGCCCCTGCCATAACTCCTCAGACTCTCCGGATACCATTCCCTCTCTTCCCCAACATATGGCTTGTGATACTGTAACTTATACTAAGAAACATATATTCGGTCTTCATCCTCGTTCCTGGCACAGAGCTCCCCAAACCTTTGGGATTCCCTGAGCGATGAGCAATAAAGGTGTCTTCATTTTCATAAGAAATCCCTTTCAACCACACCTGACTTTATGTTAATGAGGTGACTTTTGGAAAGCACCTAAAGATGGGGGGCTGGTTGCCAGGGGTCATGGGACAGTTGGAACTTTCAGCCCCACCTCACCTGACCTCCAGAGAGGGCAGAGAGGCTGGAGGTTAAATCAATCACCAATGGCCAAAGACTTAAAGAGTCTTGCCTATGTAACGAAGCCCTATGCATCTCTTCCATCTGGCTGTCCCTGATACATGCTTTCACAATAAACCAAAAATCTAGTAAGTAAACTGGTTTCCTGAGTTCTGTAAGCCACCCTAGCAAATAAATTGAACCCAAGAACTGGGTCCTGGGAACTTCTGATTTATAGCCATTGTGTCAGAAGCACAGGTGACAACCTAGGCTTTTGATTGGCGTCTGAAGTGGGGGTGGTCTTGTAGGACTGAGCTCTTAACCTGGAGCCCTAAACCTGGGGGATCTGACGTTATTTCCAGGGAGAGAGTGTCAGAATTGAGTTGACTTGGGCTTCCCTGGTGGCGCAGTGGTTGAGAGTCCGCCTGCCGATGCAGGGGACGCGGGTTCGTGCCCCGGTCCAGGAAGATCCCACATGCCGCGGAGCGGCTGGGCCCGTGAGCCACAGCCGCTGAGCCTGCGCGTCCAGAGCCTGTGCTTCGCAACGGGAGAGGCCACAACAGTGAGAGGCCCGCGTACCGCAAAAAATAAATAAATAAATAATTGAGTTGACTTGTGAGATGCCCAGCTGGGGTCTCATAATTGCTCGGGGGTGTGGGGAGAAACCCACACACTGCAATTGGGAACAGAATCGTGTGGCACTTCTGGCTTTAGAGACTAGATCTCTCTCTCTCGAAGATGGCATCTCATCTGCTTGCTTGATCAGCTCTATCTACAGTAACTGGGGACAGAGTATAGATCCTGTAGTAGTGAAATGGGATGTTACCACCTCCCGTTCCGTTGCAGCAGGAAATGTCAGCTTCTTCGCTTCTCTTAGCATGGATCCAACATGAGCGGCGGGGATCCAGGGGGATGACACAAAATCTTGCTAACAGCTCACTCCCTGCTCTTTTAGGCTTGTATGACAAACCCTCCCTCTCCACTAATGGGTACCTCGTGGTGATGCCAGGGGAGAATGTTTCCCTCCGGTGCAGCTCAGCACACATCTCGTTCAATAGATTTTCACTGAGCAAGGAGAGAAGGGCCGTTCTGTCACAGCACCAAAACGGGGGACGCTGGGGTGACTTCATTCTGGGTCCTGTGAACCTCAGCTTCTCAGGGATCTACACATGCTACAGTTGGTACAGTGGCAGCCCTTATGTATGGTCAGCCCCCAGTGATGCCCTGCAGCTTGTGGTCACAGGTAAGTGCACCCCCGCCCACACGTATGTCCTCTTCCTCAGGGCTCTGGCTGACTGTTCAGGGCCTTGGCATCAGGCAGGAATACAAAGAGATGCACTAAGAAAGAACAGTGGGGCAGGAGAGAGTCATTACTCAGAGCACCACGAAGAGAGAAGAAGCACTTCTCTATCCATTCTTCTGTTGATGGACATTTAGGCTGCTTCTGTGTCTTGGCTATTGTAAAAGCACTGCAGTGAACGCTGGGGTGCATGTATCCTTTCGGACCATGTCTTTCTCCAGATATATGTCCAGGAGTGGGATTGAAGGATCATACGGTAGCTGTATTTTTAGTTTTTTAAGGAGCCTCCATACCAATTTACATTCCCACCAACAGTGTAGGAGGGTTCCCTTCTCTCCACACCCTCTCCGGCAGAAGATGTGGTACATATATACAATGCAATATTACTCAGCCATAAAAAGGAATGAAATAATGCTATCTGCAGCAACATGGATGGACCTAGAGATTGTCATACTGAGTGAAGTAAGTCAGACAGAGAAAGATAAATATCGTGTGATATCGCTTATATGCGGAATCTTTTCTTTAAAAAAATGACACAAATGAACTTATTTACGAAACAGAAACAGACTCACAGACTTAGAGAACGAACTTATGGTTACCAGTGGGGAAGCGGGGGGGATAGTTAGGGAGTTTGGGACTGACAGGTACACGCTGCTATATTTAAAATGAATAACCAACAAGGCCCTACTGTACAGCACAGAGAACTCTGCTCAATACTATGTAACAACCTAAATGGGAAAAGAATAGATACATGTATAACTGAATCACTTTGCTGTACACCTGAAACTGTCACAACATTATTAATCGACTGTACTCCAATATAAAATAAATATTTTAAAAAATGAGAGAGAGAGAAGAAGCACTTCTCACCCACATCACATTTGACTTTCACATCCTCTCCTTGAGTTTTCCAGTTTCCTTTGAAAACACATGGCCTGTTGAGAAAGGAGAGGCCAACGTTTGGAGTCACATTAAGGGGTGTTGTTGAGATAGGAGATGCCAGACACAAGTTTTGACGAATCCACTTCCTTTTTCACATGCTTAGTTGCAGCTGAGAATCCTGAAACTAACCTATAATACTAGAATCCACTCGGAGTGGGTGACTGAGGAAGACTCTAAAAAAACTCTATCGAGGGCCTTCCCTGGTGGTCCAGTGGTTAAGACTCGGCGCTTCCACTGCAGACAGCACAGGTTCCATCCCTAGTCGGGAAACCAGATTCCAGATGCCGTGCTGTGCAGCCAAAAAAAAAAAAAAAACAAAAACCCTCCATCAAGAGCTTCATTTTTGGGAATTCACTAGTGGTCCAATGGTTAAGACTCGGGGCTTTCACTGCCATGGACCCCCTGGCTGGGTAACTAAGATCCTGCAAGCCACGCGGTGTGGTCAAAAAAAAAAAAGTTTCATTTTTATATTGTTTGCACGCATCACCGCCCAGAGGGAGAAAACGAAGAGTCACAGCAGAGGAAAGCAGCTGCTAACTGCTGAGTGGGAGTGACCACACTTGTCTCTCTTATGTACCTTGTCCAGTCATTCTACAAGCTAAGCAAATATGCTAGTCATGGCACTGTGAGATCACACAGACAGAATGGTCTTTTCAACGAATGTTGCAGGGACAACTGGGAAACAGGGGAGGAGGGGTGAATTCATTAGCCTTTTCCTTTAGAGTAGATAATCAGTGAATCTTGTTTTAGAAATCACCTCCTATCCAACATCAAGGTGGTATTACCTTCTCAAACTTGAAACATTTTGCACTTCGCAGTTAGGAACTCCAAATCCACTTGGAACTGATTTCTGTATTTTAACAGGAGCGAGTTACTAGGATTTCTCAGCATTGTAATTTCACACTATTTTATTACATCTTGAGAGGAATAGAGGCCCATGAAGTCCATAAAACAAATGGAGAAATCTTTTTAAAGGTTCAGTGAACAGAAATGTCTGGTGAAAGGTCACACAATAGTGGAGATAAATTTTCCCTAAGTTTTTGCGTTCTGTTTTGTTTTTGTTTTTTGTGTTTTGTTTCTTCGGCGGCATGGCATGCGGGATCCTGGTTCCCTGAGCGGGGATTGAACCCGTGTCCCCTACAGTGGAAGCACAGAGTCTTACCTCCTGGATGGCCAGGGAAGTCCCAAATTTTTCTCTAAGCTTATCTGAAATGTTTCTCCTACTTGCTTCCCAGATACCAGCCATCCTGTACCCTTTGTCATGTATGAGAAAGGAACACACATTGTTCTGTGGGGTGAAGATGACGTAGAGGAGAGACTTTCAGACTCTGGATCCATGAAGATGTTGCAGGGACATGATTAGACAGTCAGTGACACTGCCACGTGAGGAGGGAATGAAAAGCAAACACAGCATGCTCATACCCACCTCCTCCCCGTTTTATAAGACTCCCCGGGGAACCACACCCTTGGACCTACGTTTAATATGAAGTAGGGTGCTCATGAATGCATGCACGTGTGGAGGAGGGGGTCCCAGTGAAACCACAAATAGGGAAATGAGCTCCCCTTCCAGGGCTCTTGGGATGGGATGGAATGAAACATGACCAGTGATCATTCATCTCTTCTAATTACGTCTCTAGATACCACGAACCAAGATTACACGACGGAGAACTTGATTCGAATGGGCATGGCAGGGCTGCCCCTGGTGGTTCTCTTGGTCATTCTGGCTGAAAATTGGCTTGGCCGTCAGGTTCCACACAAGGAAGACCAGCAAGAACTGCCTGAACTGAGCTGCAGTAGACAGAAAACTCAGACAGAATGGACCTTTGGACTAACTCCAAAGGGTCACCAGGTAGACACCAGGCACTGAATACAACAGCCAGCACTTGTGGAGTCCTGGAAAGCTCCATGGAGAACACAAGGGAGAACGAGGTGCTAACCAGCTTGGATCCCTTTGCAAACCAATCAAATGGTATTTTCTTATATGAATCTGATATATTTGCAGCCCACCCTGCTAGACTTTGGTGATAAAATTCTCAGTACAGGGCCTTCCCTGGTGGTGTAGTGGATAAGACTCCACGCTCCCAATGCAGGGGGCCCGGGTTCAATCCCTGGTCAGGGAACTAGATATACCACATGCATCCCGCAACTAAGAGTTTGCATGCCACAACTAAGGAGCCCGCCTGCCGCAACTAAGGACCCCACGTGGTGCAAATAAGGAGCCCGCCTGCCGCAACTAAGGACCCCACGTGGTGCAACTAAGGAGCCAGCAAGCTGCAAATAAGGAGCGCATTTGCCGCAACTAAGACCCAGTGCAACCTAATAAATAAATAAATATTTTTTAAAAATATCAATATAATCTTTGCTTAACTTTTCCTGTGATTAAAAAAATAATGCAAAGCATTCTCAATTCTCCTTGCTGTTTTTCACCCCTCCTCCACACAAGTTCTGGCTCATACATTCATTTTGTCTTGAACTTATCAGCAAAACCAAATACCATTACATCCTCCTGATAGAAGACCTTAACACCTAGAATTCCATTAATTACAAAGGCTAATAATTAATTATGAATACTGTCCACTCAACGTACCATATATTCCACACCATAACTGTGCTTCTAGCTTTCCCTACAGTAACATTTGTGTTAACACATGCTTTTCCGACTCTTAAGAAGACTCTCCTGTTCTTATGAAACTAACCCACTTCAAAATGTCTCATGCCTCCAACGCAAAGTAAACAGACTTGTGAAAGCAGCCAAACAAGCATCTCCTTTGGATCATCTCAGTACTTCAAGTTACTCAGTCTATCGATTCATCTTTTTGTAGTATGCATCATGACGTCTAGAAAACATGAAGTACTGGATCTATTTATTGAGATCATGAATAAATAAGTTAGTGACTGAGCCAGATAAACAAGGAAATGTTAGTGGCTCAGCCGAATAAACAACAGGGAAGTGCCACAGTTGCAGAGGAGGACTAATGAGAGTCTTTATATCACATCCAAACCGACCAGAGAAATGCAAGGCAGTTTGTTTCCAAGAGAGGGAAAAGATTAGCTTCACATACGTGGTTTTGTCTATGGTAGGGCCTCGTTTGGAAAAGGGGTTCTGAGAATAAAAGGGGCCTGCACTCCTAGGAAAATGATTGATCTTTCTGTAGCCACGATGACAAGTGGCCAACAGAATGGGTTTATAACCCATCGTCAACGACCACTCACGTTGGCCATTCAACCAATCAGACAGCTCCCTGCTTCTCACTGTCAGCCAATCAGAAACAGGTTCACTCCAGTAAGCACACCGGTGAGAGACAGCCAATCCAAATAGACTCCGTCGAACAAACATGCTTTTACGGATAATGTTCAAACCAGAAGAGCCCCTGAAAATCCACATTTCCCAAAAACCCTGTATAGGATCAGCAGTAGGCTCTGCTCAGAGACACCATGTCTGTCCAGCATAACTCTCCCTTACTACGGTAATAATAAATTCGGCTTTGCCTTCTTATTTCAGACACTGAGTAGCGAGTGCATTAGCCTTTGGCAGTTTATGTATTAGACTGATTTAAGTTAAGTATAAGGTCTTTGCTTAAGGGCAAGGTGTATGGCGGCTTATAATCCATGACTTTAAGGTTTTTTTTTAAATTTTTATTGGAGTATAGTTGCTTTACAATGTTGTGCTAGTTTCTGCTGTACAGCAAAGGGAATCAGTTATACATATACATATACATATATCCACTCTTTTTTAGATTATTTTCCCATATACATGACTTTCGGTTCTATGTTAGGCATTATGCTGGTCGTTTCATTTATATGAGCATACTGTAATGCCGTGAATTTTAATTTAATCAATTTTAATTAAATCAATCGTGACAGTCATGTCACACGAGCAAACAGAGGCTCGGGAATGGTATGATTTGGATAATGATATGAAGATGTGGACACAGAGTTTCAGTCTGGGAAGATGAAAAATTCTAGAGATGGATGGTGGTGATGATTGCATGATGATGTACATGTCCCAGTTGCCACTCAACTGTACACTTAAACATGGTAAAGGCGGGCTTCCCTGGTGGCGCAGTGGTTGAGAGTCCGCCTGCTGATGCAGGGGACACGGGTTCGTGCCCCGGTCCGGGAAGATCCCACATGCCGCGGAGCGGCTGGGCCCGTGAGCCATGGCCGCTGAGCCTGCGCGTCCGGAGCCTGTGCTCCGCAACGGGAGAGGCCACAACGGTGAGAGGCCCGCGTACCGCAAAAAAAAAAAAAAAATGGTAAAGGTGATAAGTTTCATGTATGTGGAGCTTTTTACCATAATTTTAAAAAACTTTTAAAAATGGTTAAAATGGTAAATTTTGTGTTATGTATGTGTTGCCACAATTTTTAAAAAGTTCTTTGTGGTCTATAGAAACTGAAAGTAGATTAGTGGTTGCCCAAAGCTGGGAGAGTGAGGGGGTATTGGACAGTGAGTGCTAGTGGGTATTGGAGGGGTTTTTTTTGGGGGGGGTAATTAAAAAGTTCTGAAATTAGATTATGGTGATGGTTGAGCAACTCTCAATATAATAAAAACCACTGAATTCTACACTTTAAATGGTAAATTGTATAGTATGTAAATTATATCTCAATTAAGTTGAGTTTCTTCAACTATCAAAAATGATTAAATTATTAGTAACACCCTCAGTGGTTGAGTCATGACTTGAAATCCATCATCTCCAACAGGGCTTACAGTGTGCATACGGGGATAGTCCTAGGAGCACAGGTGTGAGCTTAAGGTGAAAACTGGGGCTGGACTAAACAGATACAGAGAAGTACCTGAGAAACCAGAGGCAAACTTAGGGAGAATGGATGGGATGATTGCCCTTAGTATGTGGTGTCCAGGGAAGACACTCCAGGTTCAGAGCATATTCCCCTAAGATGATCACCCAACCCCTCTAATGAGCTGGATAAAACATGGCATTTAGTTAACTTATTTGTGCTTCAGTTCCTTATCTGGAAATGGTGGAGTAAATGCTATCAACTTCATCGGGTTATCATGAGAATTCAATGAATGAATGATGCCAGCCACTCAGAACAGTGCCTACACATAGGAAATGTTTTTCAAGTCTGGTTACCAGAAACCTTGCCTCTCAAGATGATTTTATCTTCAGATCTTTGCACACTGCTGGAATAAACTGTTCCACTCTGAGTTGGTGAGCTCCATAGCAGAAAATAGAGAAGGAAAGTATCATTACTATTATGTGATGTGGGGGTAGCACTCGCCCCCATTTCCATACCAACTTCAAGAATTACTATAAGTAACCAAGAGAGTGTGTTATTGACCAAATAATAGACAAATAGATCAATAGAATGGAATAGATAGCTCAGAAATAGACCCACATAAATATAGTCAACTGATTTTTCACAAAGGAACAAGAGCAATACAGTGGAGCAAAGAGGCTCTCTTCAACAAACGGGGCTGGAACACCCGGACATCCACATGCAAAAACATGAATCTAGACAGACCTTACACCCTTCACAAAAGTGAACTCAAAATGGATCACAGACCTAAATGTAAAACGAAATCTACAAAACTCTTAGGAAAAAACATAGACGATCTTGGGTTTTGTGATGCCTTTTTAGATACAACACCAAAGACAGGATCCATGAGAGGAAAAATCGATAAGCTGGGATTGATTAAAATTTAGAAATGCTACTCTGTGATAGACGGTATCAAGAGAAATGAAAAGCCACGGACTGGAAGAAAACATCTGTGTTTTCTTTTTTCGACCTTTTTTTACACCACATTCGACCCTTTTTTACACCACACATAGAAGCTTAAAATGGATTAAAGACTTAAACACAGGGACTTCCCTGGTGGTGCAGTGGTGAAGAATCCGCCTGCCAATGCAGGGTACACAGCTCCAAGCCCTGGTCGGGGAAGATCCCACATGCCGCGGAGCAACTAAGCCCGTGGGCCACAACTACTGAGCCTGCATGCCACAACTACTGAAGCCTGTGTGCCTAGAGCCCGTGCTCCTCAACAAGAGAAGCCACTGCAATGAGAAGCCTGCGCACCACAATGAAGAGCAGCCCCCGCTCGCCACAACTAGAGAAAGCCCGCATGCAGTAACGAAGACCCAACGCAGCCAAAATATATATATAAATAAATTTATTTTTTTTTAAAAAGACTTAAACATAAAACCCCAAACACTAACACTCCCAGTAGAAAACATAAGAAAAAATGTACCTCAACATTGATCTTGTCAATAATTTTTTTGGATATGACACCAAAAGCACAGGCAACAAAAGCAAAAATACACAAGTGGCACTACAGAAAACTAAAAAGATTCTGCACAGCAAAGGAAACCATCCACAGTGGGACACCACCAGCCCCAGGATCCCTGGGGTCCCACAAGAAGCCACCCTGGGACCTGGGCCTGCCCACCAGTGGGTAAGCAGCCACCACACGAGGCAGGGCCTGACAGTCAAACAGGCAAGGGTCCACACAACCTACCAGTGCACCACAGATACAGGGAAGATGACACACAGATGGCCAACAGGCACATGAAAAGATGCTCAACATCTCTAATTATCAGAGAGGTGCAAATCAAAACAACACTGAGATATCCCCTCACACCTGTCAGAATGGCCACCATCAAAAAGTCTACAAATAATAAATGCTGGAGAGGGTGGGGAGAAAAGGTAACCCTCCTACACTGTTGGTGGGAATGTAAATTGGTGTAGGCACTATGGAGAACAGTATGGAGGATCCTCAAAAAATTAAAAATAAAACTACCATATGATCCAGCAATTCCACACCTGGGTATACATCCGGAACAAATGAAAGCACTAATTCAAAAACATACATGCATCCTAACGTCCATAGCAACACTATTTACAATAGTCAGGACACAGAAGCAACCCCAGTGTCCATCAACAGACGACTGGATTAAGAAGATGTGATATATGTGATAGATACACGCGCACACACGCAAGCACGCATGCACACACACACACACACAGTGGAATATTACTCAGCCATAAAATAGAATGAAATTCTACCATTGGCAGCAACATAGATGAACCTAGAGAATATTATGCTTAGTGAAATAAGTCAGACAGAGAAAGACAAATACTATATGCTATCACTTACATGTAGACTCTAAAAAATAATACAAATGAATGTATATGCAAAACAGAAACAGACTCACAGACATAGAAAACAAACTAGTGGTTACCAAACGGGAGAGGGAAGGGGGTCCGGACAAATATAGGGTATGGGATTAAGAGATACAAACTAATATGTATAAAATAGATAAGCAACAAGAATACACTATATAGCACAGGGAATTATAGCCATTATCTTGTAATAATTTATAATGGAGGATAATCTGCAAAAATAGTGAATCACTGTGCTGTCCACCTGGAACAAATCCAATACTGTTGATCAACTATACTTCAATTAAGTAATTAATTTAAAATTATTTAGACCCTTAAAAAAAGAACAATGGACACATTTTGCATTTAAAATATATTAAGTACTTAATATATTATTATACTACTTAATATTTGAATATTAACACTTAATATTTAAGTACTTAATATTTTAAAGTACTAATATTTTAATATTTAATTTCTGCTTTATAACAGACTAAAGGAATGTCATTATGTAACAAATAAAATGTATTTTTGCTTAAAAGTATTATTTATTGAAACATTATATCAAATCTTTGAAGAAGGCAGTATTATCATCGGCCGCTGAGCCTGCGCGTCCGGAGCCTGTGCTCCGCAACGGGAGAGGCCACAACGGTGAGAGGCCCGCGTACCGCAAAAAAAAAAAAAAAATGGTAAAGGTGATAAGTTTCATGTATGTGGAGCTTTTTACCATAATTTTAAAAAACTTTTAAAAATGGTTAAAATGGTAAATTTTGTGTTATGTATGTGTTGCCACAATTTTTAAAAAGTTCTTTGTGGTCTATAGAAACTGAAAGTAGATTAGTGGTTGCCCAAAGCTGGGAGAGTGAGGGGGTATTGGACAGTGAGTGCTAGTGGGTATTGGAGGGGTTTTTTTTGGGGGGGGGTAATTAAAAAGTTCTGAAATTAGATTATGGTGATGGTTGAGCAACTCTCAATATAATAAAAACCACTGAATTCTACACTTTAAATGGTAAATTGTATAGTATGTAAATTATATCTCAATTAAGTTGAGTTTCTTCAACTATCAAAAATGATTAAATTATTAGTAACACCCTCAGTGGTTGAGTCATGACTTGAAATCCATCATCTCCAACAGGGCTTACAGTGTGCATACGGGGATAGTCCTAGGAGCACAGGTGTGAGCTTAAGGTGAAAACTGGGGCTGGACTAAACAGATACAGAGAAGTACCTGAGAAACCAGAGGCAAACTTAGGGAGAATGGATGGGATGATTGCCCTTAGTATGTGGTGTCCAGGGAAGACACTCCAGGTTCAGAGCATATTCCCCTAAGATGATCACCCAACCCCTCTAATGAGCTGGATAAAACATGGCATTTAGTTAACTTATTTGTGCTTCAGTTCCTTATCTGGAAATGGTGGAGTAAATGCTATCAACTTCATCGGGTTATCATGAGAATTCAATGAATGAATGATGCCAGCCACTCAGAACAGTGCCTACACATAGGAAATGTTTTTCAAGTCTGGTTACCAGAAACCTTGCCTCTCAAGATGATTTTATCTTCAGATCTTTGCACACTGCTGGAATAAACTGTTCCACTCTGAGTTGGTGAGCTCCATAGCAGAAAATAGAGAAGGAAAGTATCATTACTATTATGTGATGTGGGGGTAGCACTCGCCCCCATTTCCATACCAACTTCAAGAATTACTATAAGTAACCAAGAGAGTGTGTTATTGACCAAATAATAGACAAATAGATCAATAGAATGGAATAGATAGCTCAGAAATAGACCCACATAAATATAGTCAACTGATTTTTCACAAAGGAACAAGAGCAATACAGTGGAGCAAAGAGGCTCTCTTCAACAAACGGGGCTGGAACACCCGGACATCCACATGCAAAAACATGAATCTAGACAGACCTTACACCCTTCACAAAAGTGAACTCAAAATGGATCACAGACCTAAATGTAAAACGAAATCTACAAAACTCTTAGGAAAAAACATAGACGATCTTGGGTTTTGTGATGCCTTTTTAGATACAACACCAAAGACAGGATCCATGAGAGGAAAAATCGATAAGCTGGGATTGATTAAAATTTAGAAATGCTACTCTGTGATAGACGGTATCAAGAGAAATGAAAAGCCACGGACTGGAAGAAAACATCTGTGTTTTCTTTTTTCGACCTTTTTTTACACCACATTCGACCCTTTTTTACACCACACATAGAAGCTTAAAATGGATTAAAGACTTAAACACAGGGACTTCCCTGGTGGTGCAGTGGTGAAGAATCCGCCTGCCAATGCAGGGTACACAGCTCCAAGCCCTGGTCGGGGAAGATCCCACATGCCGCGGAGCAACTAAGCCCGTGGGCCACAACTACTGAGCCTGCATGCCACAACTACTGAAGCCTGTGTGCCTAGAGCCCGTGCTCCTCAACAAGAGAAGCCACTGCAATGAGAAGCCTGCGCACCACAATGAAGAGCAGCCCCCGCTCGCCACAACTAGAGAAAGCCCGCATGCAGTAACGAAGACCCAACGCAGCCAAAATATATATATAAATAAATTTATTTTTTTTTAAAAAGACTTAAACATAAAACCCCAAACACTAACACTCCCAGTAGAAAACATAAGAAAAAATGTACCTCAACATTGATCTTGTCAATAATTTTTTTGGATATGACACCAAAAGCACAGGCAACAAAAGCAAAAATACACAAGTGGCACTACAGAAAACTAAAAAGATTCTGCACAGCAAAGGAAACCATCCACAGTGGGACACCACCAGCCCCAGGATCCCTGGGGTCCCACAAGAAGCCACCCTGGGACCTGGGCCTGCCCACCAGTGGGTAAGCAGCCACCACACGAGGCAGGGCCTGACAGTCAAACAGGCAAGGGTCCACACAACCTACCAGTGCACCACAGATACAGGGAAGATGACACACAGATGGCCAACAGGCACATGAAAAGATGCTCAACATCTCTAATTATCAGAGAGGTGCAAATCAAAACAACACTGAGATATCCCCTCACACCTGTCAGAATGGCCACCATCAAAAAGTCTACAAATAATAAATGCTGGAGAGGGTGGGGAGAAAAGGTAACCCTCCTACACTGTTGGTGGGAATGTAAATTGGTGTAGGCACTATGGAGAACAGTATGGAGGATCCTCAAAAAATTAAAAATAAAACTACCATATGATCCAGCAATTCCACACCTGGGTATACATCCGGAACAAATGAAAGCACTAATTCAAAAACATACATGCATCCTAACGTCCATAGCAACACTATTTACAATAGTCAGGACACAGAAGCAACCCCAGTGTCCATCAACAGACGACTGGATTAAGAAGATGTGATATATGTGATAGATACACGCGCACACACGCAAGCACGCATGCACACACACACACACACAGTGGAATATTACTCAGCCATAAAATAGAATGAAATTCTACCATTGGCAGCAACATAGATGAACCTAGAGAATATTATGCTTAGTGAAATAAGTCAGACAGAGAAAGACAAATACTATATGCTATCACTTACATGTAGACTCTAAAAAATAATACAAATGAATGTATATGCAAAACAGAAACAGACTCACAGACATAGAAAACAAACTAGTGGTTACCAAACGGGAGAGGGAAGGGGGTCCGGACAAATATAGGGTATGGGATTAAGAGATACAAACTAATATGTATAAAATAGATAAGCAACAAGAATACACTATATAGCACAGGGAATTATAGCCATTATCTTGTAATAATTTATAATGGAGGATAATCTGCAAAAATAGTGAATCACTGTGCTGTCCACCTGGAACAAATCCAATACTGTTGATCAACTATACTTCAATTAAGTAATTAATTTAAAATTATTTAGACCCTTAAAAAAAGAACAATGGACACATTTTGCATTTAAAATATATTAAGTACTTAATATATTATTATACTACTTAATATTTGAATATTAACACTTAATATTTAAGTACTTAATATTTTAAAGTACTAATATTTTAATATTTAATTTCTGCTTTATAACAGACTAAAGGAATGTCATTATGTAACAAATAAAATGTATTTTTGCTTAAAAGTATTATTTATTGAAACATTATATCAAATCTTTGAAGAAGGCAGTATTATCATCGCTTAAAAATATTATTTATTGAAACATTATATCAAATCTTTGAAGAAGGCAGTATTATCATTGCTTAAAAATATTATTTATTGAAACATTATATCAAATCTTTGAAGAAGGCAGTATTACCATTCCATTCTGATGGGACCAGTTAACATCCAAGCATATGAATGCACACAAGGGAGCCAAAGTTAAACACCTATTTTTTTTTTATTTATTTTTTTTTTTTGCGGTGCGCAGGCCTCTCACTGCTGTGGCCTCTCCCGTTGTGGAGCGCAGGCTCAGCGGCCATGGCTCCCGGGCCCAGCCGCTCCGCGGCACGTGGGATCTTTCCGGACCAGGGCACGAACCCGTGTCCCCTGCATCGGCAGGCGGACTCTCAACCACTGCGCCACCAGGGAAGCCCAAACACCTATTTTTTTAAATCATTCTGAGGCTTTTGCTCTGCACACTACCCTATGCTTTCCCTGGGCATAATGTCCATATTTCAAAATTTAGAAGTTGACCCCGAAATGAGTTTCAGTTCGGGCAGACAACTATCAGAGGTTCTGGTTAGAAACCACATATATGATCAGATGTGTCATGGGGACCACTTCCTCTCCTTATACCCGATGGCCAGAGGTGGGGGGAGATCTTTGAATCTTCTCATAAAAAAGTCAGTGTGAAAGTCCCGTGGTGATTGGCGCTGGGCTTCAGTCACCACATCCTGTGCCTCTCCCTGGCCTGCTGGACTCAGTCTCCCCCCAGCTCTCCATATTAGCGAGGCACAATCTGAGCTATGCCTTCTACACTTGCTGCCCTTCTCTTTCTTGGTGAGTTCTTGCACGGAAGAGAGATGGAATTCAGGGGTCTCGTGTGGATGGGGCGATATATCTCATGATTCCTGTTTTCCAGGGCTGTCTCTGAGCCAGGGGACCAGCACCCAGAAGCGTGAGTCCTTCCTTCAAAGCCCCAGCGTCTGGGTTGAGACTAAGTATCCACGTGAGAACAACTGGAAGAGAGGGCAGGGGCTCTGGCTTGCTAGGAGGGCTTGAGACCAGCAGCTGGGTGGAAAGTAAGGTGAGCAGGGCCTTTATCTGGAACTCCAGCCTCTGATTCCTTTCCAGAGAGTCTCTCGAAACCTGTCATCTGGGCCAAACCCAGTTTCATGATTCCAGAAGGAAAACTGGCCATCATCTGGTGTCAAGGAACTCACGGGGCCGCTGAATACCAACTGCACTTTGAGGGAGGCCTTTCTGCCTTCAAGAGACCAAAGTCACCTGGAATGTCGAACAGAGTAAAGTTCCCCATCCCGTCCATGACCTCACAGACTGCAGGGCAGTACAGGTGCTTCTATCGAAGTGGGGAGCTCTGGTCAGAGCCCAGTGACCCTCTGGATCTGGTGGTAACAGGTAACTGTCCCACTGCATAGCTGTAGAGTCAACTCCTCAGCCTGACTCCTGGGCAGGGTCATCACTTATTCATCTCCTTTGCTCTCTTCCAAGCCTCACTCAGATACTAGTATTTGTCTTGAGGGTAATGTAGAGGGTTGATTATTTCCTACAGGGATTATCTTTAGAGAACTGTCTCTATGTCCCAGAAGCAGATTTGTCTTAGGTCCTTCAGAAAAGAGGCTCTGAGATGGATATTCGTGCACAGAGGGGATTACTGTGGAGTGTCCTCAAACATCACACCTGTGATGAGTGAGGGGGACAGGCTGGGCAGAAGGGGAAGTTGGACTGTGATGCAGCTTCACCTGAGACCTCGGCCGAGCAAATGTGGGACTCTGGACCTGGGTGACCTTTCAGAATAGTATCGAAATGAGGCTGGAAGCTCTGTACCCCCCGCTGTATCAAACAGTGATTGGCTGGGAACCACTCTTAGGGAGATTGCAGACAAATACCCTTGCTTTTGTGGTTCTTGTATTCTAGCAGAAGACAGACCATGAGTCAAAGTCAGGAAATTCAAATCAATTATATAGCATGTGAGGGCGAAACGGTGGTATGGAAAAAAGACAAAGTAAATGGGGTTAAGGTGACTGGCTGGCCAGGTAAGCTTGGGTCAGATAGTTCCCTTCAGTTGAGGGATATGGTTCTCAAACTTTAGTAAATATCAGAATCACCTGTAGGGCTTGTAGAAGCACAGATGACTTCAGTAAGCCCATGTTCATGGAAGCATTATTCATAATAGCCAAAAGGTGGAAACATCCTTTGCCTATCAGTGAATGAATAGATGGAGAAAATGTGGTCCATCCATACAACTGAATATCATTCAGCCTTAAAAAGGAAGGAAATTCTAACACATGATACAACATGGATGAACTTGAGGGCGTTATATTGAGTGGAATAAGCCAGTCCTCAAAGGATCAATAAGTGCACATTTCCATTTACATGGGGTACTTAAAATACTCAAATTCAGAGGCAGAAAGGAGAATGGTGGTTACCAGGGGCTGGGGGAAGGGGGAGTGAAGAGTTAGTGTTTAATGTGTACAGACTTTCAGTTATGCAAGATGAAAAGCGTTCCAGAGACTAATGGTGATAATGGTTGTACAACGATGTGGATGTACTTAATACCACAGAACTGCACAATTAAAAATACTTAAGATGGGGCTTCCCTGGTGGCGCAGTGGTTGAGAGTCCGCCTGCTGATGCAGGGGACACGGGTTCGTGCCCCGGTCCGGGAAGATCCCACATGCCGCGGAGCGGCTGGGCCCATGAGCCATGGCCGCTGAGCCTGCGTGTCCGGAGCCCGTGCTCCGCAATGGGAGAGGCCACAGCAGTGAGAGGCCCACATACCACCAAAAAAAAAAAAAAAACTTAAGAGGGTAGATTTATGTATATTTTACTACGACTAAAAGTGATAATAATGTTTTAAAACACAGATGGCTGCTCTTCTCCTAAGTTTCTGAGGCAGTAGGTCTGGGGTAGAGCCCGGCAATTTGCATTTCTAACAAGGTTCCCGACGATGCTGAGGTTGCTGGTCCCAAGGACCAAACGCTGAGGACCAATGATGTAGGGCAATTCCCAGAGATTCATCTTTTTTTAAATTAATTTTTATTGGAGTATAGTTGCTTTACAGTGTTGTGTTAGTTTCTGCTGTACAGCAAAGTGAATCAGCTATACGTATACATATATCCCCTCTTTTTTGGATTTCCTTCCCATTTAGGTCACCACAGAGCATTGAGTAGAGTCCCCTGTGCTACACAGTAGGTTCTCATTAGTTACCTATTTTATACATAGTATCCATAGTGTATATATGTCAATCCCAATCTCCCAATTCATCCCAGCCACCTTGGTATACATACATTTGTTCTCTACATCTGTGCCTCTATTTCTGCTTTGCAAATAAGTTCATCTGTATCATTAGAAAGAGATTCATCTTAACACTCCTGGAAGCTAGGGGAGCAACTGTCTCAGTCGTGAAGGGAGAGATCAGGGAGGGTATGTCCATGACCGAGACAAACCTAGGAAACAGAAGAAGAGACCAAGATTCTGGGGAGCGATATCCCGGTCCTAAGGAGAAGAGGGATGCGGGATATAGGAAGCAGGATAAAGATGCTCTTTACCGGGACTTCCCTGGTGGTCCAGTGGTTAAGACTCCACACTTCCAATGCAGGGGGCGTGGGTTCAAGATCCCACATGCCGCCTGGCCAAAAAAAGAATTATGTTCTTTACCTACCAGCCACCTTCTTTCGCAGGACTGTATGACACACCCACCCTCTCAGTTCAGCCCAGACCTGAGGTGATCTCAGGAGAGAAAGTGACCTTCCGTTGCCGCCTAGAAACAGCAACAAGCACCTTCTTTCTGCTCAAGGAGGGAAGATCCAGCCGCCCACAGCGCAGATATGGGAATATCCAGGCGGAGTTCCCCATGGGCCCTGTGAGCACAGCTCACAGAGGCACGTACAGATGTTTTGGCTCCTATAACAAACATGCATGGTCTTTCCCCAGTGAGCCTGTGAAGCTCCTGGTCAATGGTGAGGACACCCCCCAGTTTTACCCCATGTCCTTTCTGGATCCCTAACTGATCCCCAAATAATGACGAGAGAGGCAGCAAAGAGGCAGGTGGGAAGACGCACAGGGGGTACTTTTCACCAATGCCCTCATCCACGTTGATCTCCCAGAGGCCCAGTTGATAGCTCATGAGGAATATTGCCAGAGAGATGGCGGGCGGGGGGCGGAGTGTAGAGAATAAGTGGAAAGACCAGATCCCTTGATTTTTCTCCTTGTCTCCATTGCCAGGAGATGCCAGGGACACCACCTTTGCGCCCACAGAGCACACCTCTTCTGGTGAGTAACATGGACTTCTAAACTTGGGGAAGGACTCAAAGCCTCCCAGTGACACTAAAACCCTGGCATTCATTCACAATATCCCTTGAGTGTATAGCGTATGCCATGAACTACAGTTCTATCAGTCAACCAGAGATCCTTGCTTGTGTGGCACTCGTACTCTAGCGGGAGAAGGCAGGCCGTGAATCTAAGTCAGGATACATCAATCGATGACATAGCACACAAGGAGGAAATGACGGTGTGGAAAAGGACAATGTAGAACGAACGGCATTACGGCGATGGGGAGGAGGGCAGGTGGCAGCATTGAACAGAGTTGTCCACGCTAGCCTCACAGAGAAGGAGGCTTCAAGCAAAGAGCTGAGGGACTTCCCTGGCGGTCCGGTGGTTAAGACTTCACCTTCCAATGCAGGGATGCGGGTTCGATCCCTGGCCGGGGAGCTAAGATCCCACCTGCCTCGAGGCCAAAAAACCAAAACATAGAACAGAAGCAATACTATAACAAATTCAATAATGACAAAGAAAGAAAGAAAGGGAGGGAGGGAGGGAGGAGGGAGGGAGGGAGGGGAAAAGAAAGAAAGAAAGAAAGAAAGGAAGGAAGGAAGGAAGGAAGGAAGGAAGGAAGGAAGGAAGGAAGGAAGGAAGAAAAGAGCTGAAAAAGTTGAGGGCATGAGTCCTTAGGCCTACGCCCTAAGGCAGAAAGATGGGCAGGGTGATAAAAGAACAGCCAGGAGCCCAGTGGACTGGAAATGATGTCAGAGGGGGGATGGCAGGGCTGTGGTGGGCTGGGGCAGCTCATTGAGGACCTTGAAGAAGTTTGGTTAAGACTGAATAACGTACAGTGGAGGATTCCTGGACTGAATGTCAATATCATGACATAGTGTGAGCATGTTTCGTGTTTGGTAGTTGCAATCATTGTTGCTTCTGTGGTGGTCATCCATTTCCCATGCCTGGTGTCAGTTTATTTATCTCTTGTAAAAATAAAATACAGTGTGTGTGTGAAAAAAAAAAGAATGCCGTATATATAGAATCATAAAAAAAAAAAACAAAAGAAGACTGAATAACGTCACCAGTGGGACAAAGAAGAAAGGATGGCGATTGACTTAATGAGGAAACGGAGGCTCACACAGAAGATATGCCTGGAGACACACGCTTATGAGTCCTAGAGCTGAATTCTCCCTCTGGTCTGTCTGTCTTTTGTTTTGTTTTTAATTAATTTTTATTGGACCATAGTTGCCTTACAATGTTGCGTTAGCTTCTACTGCACAGCAAAATGAATCAGCCATACATATACATATATCCCCTCCACTGAGGACACTACAGTGCATTAAGTAGAGCTCCCTGTGCTATACAGTATGTCTTTGCCCTCTTCCACTCCACCTGCCAGATGAAGCCACTGGGACCTGGAGTGCGAGGGGTGGACCTAGAGAAGCTATAGAACGTCACGGAGTATAACCAAGGGTAGGAGAGCCTGGGATGGAAGAGGCCACATCATCTCTTTTCCTCACGTCTCCTCTTTCCTTATCCTCTGCAGACCACTGGGACTCCTACATGTTAACCACAGAGACCCAATTCCAGGAAGGTAAGCCAGCAGCGGGGGCTGTAGGCGCTAAAGGACATAAGATCGGGAAAGGAAAGAGGAAGACAGATGGGGTGAAGTGGTCTTGGTAGGTTCCTGTGAGCGATCACTCTTGTTCTTCTGACCCCAGATCCTGTCCTCTGGGATCACAATGCCCAGAATCTCCTTCGGATTGGCCTAGTTTTCCTGGTCCTGGTGGCCCTCGTGTGGCTCCCGGTTGAAGACTGGCTTCACAGGAAGAAGCCTCAAGAGAGAGCCAGCAGGGCTTCAAGTCAGGAATGCAGAAGGTTCAGAGCACAAAGCCCTGGAGAAATGACCGAGAGATGCAGTGGCCACAGGTAAAGCTGCAAGCTGACCCTGACCTTGGGCTGTGGGAGCTCCGAGTTGAGCCCGTGGAGGAGAGAGTCATCGCAGAAAACTAAGGGAGAACTGCACGGAGTTTGGCAGAGGGTTGGGGATGAAAGCGCTACATTTCTTCTGTAGGCAAAACCCATTGTCTCTTCGAGGTTCTAAGTACTGTTGCACTTGCTTCCTGCGAACCAAACTTTTCACCACTCTGGTCTTTCCTGAAAACATCTTTAACGGCATGGCCGTGGGAATATCTCCTCCCTACTTTTGTCTTTATCCCTATTTCTTCTTTGCTGTCTCTTGCACATGTCATTCAAAATATTTAACCACCAATACAGAATAGGTGCACTTATCAAACAGAACCAGAGCCGGAGAGGCAACAACCAGTCAATGGAGATGCAGGCTTATAAACAAACAGCACATCTATACCAATGTGTCCTGGTTGGATGGCAGCCATGCCCCAGTTCCCTCTATCCTATGCCCTTGCAGGATTTCTTCTTCTCCACTTCTTTATCCACACCTTGCCTTGTATTTTGGGTCTCCTAGTAGATATCATCTCCTCCAAGATGATTTCCCAAATCCTCCAGCTTGACTTAAGATACTACTTTCATAGTCCCAAAGCACCTGTAATTCTCTACAACAGCATTTGGACCCTAATACTGCCTACGTATCCATTTTCCTGTATCGACTGCGAACTCATGTGAATTAAATTTACGTCAGGTGTAATGGCTGTGTTCGTAGTTCCCACTACTCAGAGAGTTCTCAGGAAATATATGTTGAACAAATGGATATATAAATGGGGTCAGAGTGCCACTTGGAACTTGAGACTCCTATGCATGGTCCTTGAAATGTTGTCTGGGCATCACAAACGCTCTCCTTTTTGAGAGTTTCGACTTGGTCAACCCACTAATATACCCATTATGTGGGTCCCCGCCTCCTCTCAATATTGTGACACCTTACACAGGTCAAATTCGTTCTTAAATCTGCATTTTCTGTTAAATATCAGCGAATATTAATTCCAACCTCAAAGGGATAACATGAAGATCTGGAGATCAAGAATATCCAGAAACCAGCATAAGCTCTGACATGTGTACGTTACTCAATGCACGGTAACCATTATTATTCCTGATACTAAGGGCAATTAAAACTCATACCAAGTGTTACCTCATTACTAGTGGCCCCAATACTGAATTTTCTCCTTTCTGGGCTTCACCTACCAGGTGTTCTAAGGTCCAAGACTTTCTAGCTAATACCCATTTATAGTCTTCATCTCAAGATGAGATGGACTTGTTTGGGGTGGGTTCAGGACATTCCAACCTTTCCATATTCTAGTTTATGGCAAGAAACCTAGAGTCTCAAGGAAAAAATGGGTCAGGTAGAAATATTTTAGGGGTCAAGATATAAAGGCAGGGCTTGACTTGGGCAAAGGAGGCTCCTAAAGGGGATGGAGGGGTCTTTACCACCATGGCCCTATGTTGTCCTTGGCAGTCCAAGTTAAAATCTTCCAAAACTGGTCAATGGGTCAATGCCAGATGGTCAAGTATTGCAACGCTCTTTCTGAAATATTGAACATGGCTTGTATTTCAGACCGCAAAATGAAGCACGGGGAGAAAGAAAGGAAGGAGAGGAAGGGAGGGGAGGAGGGTGGGGGTAAAGTACTGGCCAATTGTTTGTGATGATGATTTACTGGAAACACTCCAAAAACACTTTCAATTATTTCCCCACGGTCAGAACTTAACAGCTTTCCACACCTAGATGCAAGGGAGGTTGACGATGTAGCCTTTTTTCCAAATAGCTCTGTGGCAAGCTGAATATTTGTACTTCCATTACCAATGAAGTGAAAGGTAATAGAGTTGTAATAAGCAATTCCAGTCCTTGTCATAAGAGCCTACTATGTGTCAGGCACTGGTGAGAGTACAACACACCAAGGCAAACATTATCCCCACCATAACAGGATTTATCGTCCAGGAGTAGAGATCTTCAAGAAGTGAGAAAATAAATGTCTCGTGAGAGAGGAACTAGAGGATGCCCTTGGAGCCCCTTCCTGTGAAAGATTCCATTATATAGAGACATTGAGGGAGATGCAGGGGTGAAGAAAGGGGAAGACGGCAGCTGTCTGTACCAATGTATCCAAAGGCTCAGATGTAAGACAGAGGGTGAAAACGTTCAGTATAACTAGAGCTCTGATTGTGACAGAAAAGAGTAGCTGTGGACGATGCTGGGCATGGCCATGGAAGCCACATAAATAAATGCACATTTTATCCTTAAGGCAAAGGGAGCTCACCAAGCATTTTGATCATGGATGTAATATGATGATTTCTACACTGTGTGAAGACCCTTCTGGTTGCAGTGAGAGGAAGGACATATGCAAAGAAAACAAAAGCATGGTAGGTGGGGGGAGACAGAAGAGTTGAGAATGGCTCACCTATTTCTAGTGCTGACAACCAGAACGATATAGGTTCCATAACTAATACTGGTAACCCAGATGGAGGTCCAGCTGTGAGTGACAGGTACACGTAGGTCTTGAGACTTGGTAACACATTCTCTAGCTCTGTCCTTATTTTTCAAGATTGCCTTGATTATTCTGCGTGTTTTGGATTTCAATACTAACTTTAGGGTATCAGTGTTCACAAAACACCCACCTGGATTTCGCATGAGATCGTATCCAAGCTACGGATCAATTTACAGAGAATCATCACCTCTTCAATCTTTCCATCCTTGGAAGTTTCAAACCTTAAATGTGGTATATTTCACCATTTAACTTCATGTTCAGTAACTTCTCTAAATAATATCTTGTATTATTCCATGTAGAGAATGTGCATATCTTTTGTTAGATACCCACCAGAAATATCCACCAGTTACGTCTCCTCCAGAGAGATCCCTACTTACATGACTTTTATTTTGTAAGTGGTATCATTCTTTAAATAACTTTATTGCTTCTGTTGGTTGCTGGTAGTATAAAAATAAAATTGATTTTTTATATGGAATGTGTCTTGCAAAGCTCACTTCTTAATCTTAACCGTTTTAGACTAAGATTATTTTTAGGTTCAAACATTTTTAGGATTTTTTTCCAAAATTAATTTCTTTTTTTTTTTTTTTTTACTGTCTTATTACCTGGCTAGAACCTCCAGTACATTAATCAATAGGAGTGGTGATAGCAGGTGCCCTTTTCTTAGTACCAATATTATGGGGAGTATTTTTAATATCTTACCTTTGAGTAAGCTAATTGCTATAATTTTTTGTAGATACTCACTGTCCCATAGAAAATTCCTTTGTATTCTTCTTTTGCTAAGTTTGTTTCCATTCAAAAATAAGAAGGAACATATCCAGTGAGATCAGTTAGGAGGTTGCTACATTATTCCAGGTGAAAGTCGATAACCACTCTGAGAAGGTAGACACCTTTGACATATTTCAGGCACAGAAGCCGTACTTCATTTTATTGTTTAGAAATGATGGGTGGGCAGGTGGCAGGGTCAACAAGAAGTCTGAGTTTGTTATGGTTACCAGAAGGTAAGGGGGAGAGGGATGAACTGGGAGACTGGGATTGACACACACACACTACTATATATAGAATAGATGACTAATAAGGACCTGCTGTAGAGCACAGGGAACTCTACTCAATACTCTGTAATGACCTATACGGGAAAAGAATCTAAAGAGAGTGGATAAATGTATAACAGATTCACTTTGCTGTACACCCGAAACTAACACAACATTGTAAATCAACTGCACTCCAATTAAGAAAAGAAACTCTGAAGTTTGTAAATTGGGCACCTGGGTGGACAAAGGGGACCTTTTTTGCCCTCATGCCCACCCACTGGCGTTGATATTGTAGATGAACCACGATAGGTGTGATAAGAAAAGGATACATTTGGGGCAACATCAAGAGACATCAGAGAGCCTCTGTTGTCCCAAACTGAAAAGTGTTTTCCTTTTCATTGAAATATAATCGACATAGAACATTGTGTAGGTTTAAGGTATGCCAGGTGTTGCTTTGATACATTGACCTATTGTAAAAGGATTGCCATTGTAGCGTCAGCCCACACCTCTGCCACATCGTGTAGCTGCCACTTCGTTTCTGTGGTTGGAATAATTAAGACCTGCTCTCTTACCAAGTCTGATGATCACACGACGCCGTTGTCTGTAATCACTATGCCGCGCGCTAGGTCTCCAGGACTTACTTGTCTACTGGTTGCAAGTCTGTACCCTTAAACCTCAGCTCCCCACTTCCTCCACCCCCCAGCCTTTACGCACCACCATTCTGCCCTCTGTTTCTACGAGTATGGATTTTTAGGTTCCACATTTAAGTGATATCATACAGTATTTGTCTTCCTCTGACTTATTTCACTTAGCATAATGCCCTCAAGGTCCATCCTTTATGTCATAAATGGCAAAATTTCCTTCCTTCTTTCTCATGACTGAATTATGTATGTATATATAATTTTTTTTTTAAGCAGGCTCACTCATCACTCCATCACAGCACTGATCTAACCTCTCTCTCCTTCTCAAGGTGCCCTCACATTTGGTGATCTGTTTCTGCAGGTTGATGCTACAGTTGCCTGGACTCATGGGTATTAGGAAAGGTGAGGTTTGAAGGCTGAGATGGCGTCTCCTTTCCCTACCCCAGCCCTGCCTCTCTTCCTTCTGTGTTTACCCCCAAGTTCTTTCATCTTCCCCATTACAACACTAAGACTGGATCTCCAGCCTGCCTTCCCTACCTGCTTCCATCACCCCGTTTCATACAACAGGTGCACGGAAGAATCAGGAGGTGGGGGAAAGGACCAAATTCGACCTCCATTAACACCTGTGTTCCTGAGGCAAGATATGTCCTTTCTATCTTCACCTTACATTTGCCGAAAGGAGGGAACAATCTCTCCTTCTTAGTAATATATGAGTTCATGACATCATGCTACAGGTTTATTTTTTTAAGATTTTTTTTGATGTGGACCATTTTTAAAGTCTTTATTGAATTTGTTACACTATTGCTTCTGTTTTATGGTTTGGTTTTTCGGTTACGAGGCATGTGGGATCTTAGCTCCCAGACCAGGGATCGAACCTGCACCCCCTGCATTGGAAGGCGAAGTCTTAACCACTGGACCGTCAGGGAAGTCCCCCATCCTAGGGATTTCTCAGTGCTCCACAGTTGTTACACCATCACCACTGGCACCAAAGTTTCCTAACTCTGAGTTAGGAAAAGGAACTAAAGCTTCAGAACGTGGATACGATTACTCAGACAATGTCCATCCCCTTCTACTATTCCTGGTCCATGGACGGGGCGACCAGTTGCCCTGAGATATTCCCCACATGGGCGGTCTTTGCTTTGCCTCTTCACACTTGTTCCTCAACCACTAGAAACTGGTTTCTCACCCCACACTTCCTCAGAAGCTGCTTTTGTCACAAACACTAATGTGTTTCCTGGAACTCTCAGTGGACACTCCTCAACCATTATTTTGTTCTTCTGGTACTTGCATACGACCACTTCCTCCTTGAAATAGTCACTTCGATGGCTTTTTCTGACACCTGTCCCTACTCACTTCTGACAGTCCCTCCACCACCGAGTTTTCGGGCTCTCCAACGCCAGAGCTTTAAGGTTCTATGGTGGACCCACGTTTCTCTGAATGCAAGCCTGGTTGACTTCATTTAATGCCATGGTTTCAATTTCTCTATGATAGATGCCCAAATCTGTTTCTCTCTTTTTTTTAATATTTTTAAAAATTTTATTTATTTGTCTTTGGCTGCGTTGGGTCTTCATTGCTCCGCGCGGGCTTTCTCTAGTTGCGGTGAGCGGGGGCTACTCATCGTGGTGGCTTCTCTTGTCGCGGAGCACAGGCTCTAGGCGCCCAGGCTTCAAGAGCTGTGGCTCGTGGGCTCTAGAGTGCAGGATTAGTAGTTGTGGCGCACAGGCTTAGTTGCTCCACGGCATGTGGGATCTTCCCAGACCAGGGCTTGAACCCGTGTCCCCTGCATTGGCAGGCGGGATCTTAACCACTGCGCCACCAGGGAAGCCCTGTTTCTCTTCTAAATAGAGTCACATTGGTGGGTTAGGGCTTCAACATGTGCATTTGGACACAATCCAGTGCATAGCAGGGACTGTCCTAAGCATTGCTTGGCGTCAGTAGCATTCCTGGCCTCTGCCCACTAGACGCCAGGACCACCCACCCACCCAGTGTGTGACAACCAAGTCTCTCTGGACAGTGCCAAATGTCTCCTTGAGGACAAAATTAAGAGCCACCCAGATAAGAACCCCTGGCTTGTAAGGACATAAATAGGGTGATGGAAAAAGGTAGGTGTGATGGGGGACGGACATCCATGAGATCTGGTGGTCAGCTGGGTGAGGACGTGTTGACTGTGCTTAGAAGGGCGGTCACATCAAATACTGAAATGCCTCAAAAATGCTCACCCAGCAGACAGAAAGAACAGCAGGTGGAGAGCCCAAGGCAGGGAAGTAGCAAGACACCCAGCACGACTGCAACAGAGCGAGCAAGGGGAAACCCGGCTGAAAGGGGAGCAAAGAGGTCAGCAGGGCCAAATAAAGGACTTTTTGGTTCATCATTTTCTTTGTAAACTATCTCGGTCTATTTATCCTCTCCAGCTTTGCTTCCTCTCTTCTCATTGACGTGGACCCTATTGCCAGTCCTTTAAAAAGGGGGGTGTCTTACCCTAAGCGGAGTTTGCAGAATTGCCCCAGACTTGGAACCCTGCCTTTTGCCCCAGATTGAGTGGTCAAAGATGGTGGTTACTTTGGGGGCAAGAACCTTGTAAACCAGGGTTTCTCAACCTTGGCACTGTTGACTTTCAGGGCTAGATAATTCTTCGCTGCACGGAGTGGGGGAGGGTGCCGTAGTGCGCATTGCTGAACATTTAGCAGCATCTCTGGACTCTATCCACCAGTAGCACCACCTCCCCGAGTTGTAACAGCCCCAAATGTCTCTTGACGTGCGGGCGAGGAGAGAGAAGAATCACCCCCATTTCAGAACTACTGGGCTGGAGAGAGATCCCGGAATCTAGCCTGGGTCCCGGAACAGGAGCTGGGCATGCTCTGACTGAAGAGTCAATGCGACCCAAATGGATTGAGATTTAGGATGGGATGTCAGGCAGTGGATCTGCTGGAGACAACAGATCCCAGCCCAGCCCTGACCTAAATGTCCGTGTGAGTTTCACTCACCCGTCATCGACTGTTCCATTGGGTCACTGAGCTCTGATCAGGGTCCTCTGCCTCCATAGAAAGAATGGTATCTCCCCGCTCTATCTGGATCCATCTCTTAGATGTGCGTTGGGTCTGTGCTCTGGACACTGGAGGTTTCTCTCTACCTTAAGTGTGAAGGTTTCCCCACCCCTCGCCCCCGGACCATGATGGAATGTTCCACTTCTGGAGGACCCAGACACTTGGTGATCACAGACCTCTTGTTCGGAATCCAGGAATCCGAACTGCTGAAAGAGAAGGTCTGGCAAGTAATCCTGGAAAGAAGTATCAAGCCCTGAGTCTCCCTGGATTCAGCTCTCCATGCCATCCTTCTTACTGAGCCTTTTATAGAAGTGACTTTATAACCCCAACTCTGTCTTTCACAAGCGCCTTGTGCAAAACAAGAGTGTTACTTGTTTAGTGTTTAGCATTACCTAAACTCCAGAAGAAGGTGAGGTTCCCATCAGCCACTCATCAGGCAGCTGTGACTGCCTCTGGTTTACTGGTTTCTGACTTAACCTTGGTCGCCTCTCCCTTAACACTGATGCTGCACCAAGGGCAAAAAAGCCAAGGGAACCCCAGCCCCTGGAAAGCTAGTCAACTCTTTCCCAGTGAGGTGTAACATGGCGGTTCTGACCTCTGCTTTAGCAGCTAATCCCGAGTGTACCTTGCATACCGCCGAGGTGCCTCAGAACACAGTTCTAAATCAACAGGTAATAGAAACGGCCCAAAGTCCATCAGCAGGAGAATGAGTTTTGCTTGTCTCTACAGCATAATGTGAAAGAATAAACAGACAGAGTCTGGGACGTCTCTGGCGGTCCAGTGGTTAAGACTTCGCCTTCCATTGCGGGGGGTGTGGGTTCGATCCCTGATAGGGGAGCTAAGATCCCACATGCCTCGCAGCCAAAAAACCAAAACATAAACAAAAGCAATATTATACCAAATTCAATAAAGACTTCAAAAATGGCCCACACCAAAAAAAAAATCTTAAAAAAAAAAGAGTAAACAGTGAACTCAGCAATAAAAAAGAATGAACTACTGAAATACAGGCATACCTTGTTTGATTATGCTTTGCAGGTTTTCTTTTGTTTTTTTTTTACAAATTAAAGGTTTGCGGCAACTCTGTCGAGCAGGTCTACCAGTGCCATTTTTACAACAGTGTTTGCTCACTTTCTCTCTGTGTCACATTTTGGTCATATTTGCCTTATTTCAAACTTTTTAAATATTATTATGCTTTATTCTTATTATTATCCATGATCAGTGATCCTTGATGTTACCATTGTAATGATTTTGGGGTACCAAAAACTACACCTATGTAAGAGAGAAAATGATAAATGTTGTGTGTTCTGACTGCTAAAAAAACTCACAAGAGGTTAGATAAGTATCCCCTTGGGGGAAGGACTCGCCTTCCCATGCCTTGGTCTCCTGGTTCATACGCATGGCCTGGAAGAGAGCCCTGGTGAGACCAACCCCAAAGCCAAGAGTTCGCCTCCACTTCTAGTAATAGGTGTCCCCCACCTTCTCTCTGGGACTCACCAAGGCTGAGCAGAATGGTGAGAGGATGAGCCATGATTCTGCAACCATTCAAGCCCTCTGGCCCCAGCAGAGCTGAGCCATGAAGGGACTGAGGCTGGGATGCTGAGGGAGGCCCTCCTGTCACCACAAGGCTGAGGTTTATTAACGCCTGCTCTCTCGAAGGAAGAGACACTACCCCTCCTAGGTCTTTACTTTACCCAGCTGGGGAGCCGTGGGAGGGTGCAGTATCCTGAAGACATCACATGCTGTCCAGCTGCAGTGGGGTTTTCAACCTCAGGGTGATGAGTGTCGTGTGTGCATCGTTGGACGTTTAGCAGCACCCTTGGCCTCTGCCCGCTAGAAGCCAGCAGCACCGCCGGCTGTGACCCAGAAAACGCCAGAGTAGTCAAATCCGTAGAGACAAAGTAGATTAATGGGTACAGGGGTTCCTTTTGGGGTGATGAAAAGGTCCTGGAACGTGATGGTGGCACAAATGTTCTGAACATACTGAATGCTACTTGAAGACGACGAAAATGCTACCGTTGATGTGATGTGTATCATGCCATGATCTTTTAAAAGTCTCCAGATATTGCCAGACTGGGGGCAAAGTCATGCTCAGTGGCAGGGAGTCCTCTCCCTGTTTCCTTCTTTATAAATAGATAAAATAACATGGTTTTTGGAGGGCAGGGGGGAATGAACTGCTGTAGAGTGTCAATCAGAATGTGTTTAAAATTCTGGGAGGGTCTGGCCCAGACACTGTCAACCACAACCTCTCTCGACTATATATGTATCTTTTTAAAATTATTTATTTATTTTGGTTGTGCTGGGTCTTCGTTGCAGCAGGCAGGCTCCTTAGTTGCGGCTCACCCCTTCCTTAGTTGCGGCATGCGGACTTCTTAGTTGCAGGATCTAGTTCCCTGACCAGGGATCGAACCCAGACCCCCTGCATTGGGAGCGCAGAGTCTTAACCACTGCGCCACCAGGGAAGTCCCTGTATCTTTTTTAAAGAACAGAAATCCTACCCAAGAGCTTTGTACTCAAGGAGAATGCTGAATTTTGACTCCGTCAGCCTCACCTCTGATACCGTGATCACTCCTTCTGATCCATACTCAATTCCTCCATCATCTATCCCTTTGAAATCCTTGCCTAACCATGTCCCACTAAACACCGGTATCCAAAAGCCTGATTTAAGTTAGTATCAGCTGAGTGTCACCACAAATACCACAGCAGCCTTGAGTGTTTGAGCAGATTTATCTTAATAAGGGCCTGCTAAGGATGGCAATGCAACACAGAGAAAGAAATTGGATCCTTCCTGGGATCAACGAGCAACTAAGGTAAGCCATACTACCTCCATACTTGAGTTCATAGATCTATGTTAACTTGGGGTCTTTATCTTCTACTTGATGGGTTGAAAGAACCAATGTGATGTTTAACCCACAAAAAATATGGCACAGAAGGAATAATGTGAAAGGGATATGAAAGGTAAAATGAGACATAGAAAATGGGAGACAATATATAAAGAGATAAAAGCCAAATTTTTTCCCAGAGTTCTGAATCCCTAGCATAAAATAAAAAATAGGAAATAAAAGGAATATCCATACTTAAACATGTCAGTACTCAAAGACAAATCGAAGAGAACATCTCAACAGCCAGAATAAAGGGGTGACTGACTACAGAGAAATGCTACAAAGAAATGCCAATTTGACCCAGAGCAGATATTCCAACAGCAACAACGAAAGCTAAAACCTATGCAATAATATCTTCAAAATGTTGAGGGATAACACCTGTTAGCTTTCAAGTGCATACAAGCTAAATTATTCAAGGTTTCCGGCCCCCCCCCCCCACCCCCCCCCCCGCCCCCGCTGCGTTTGGTCTTCGTTGCTGCACACAGGCTTTCTCTAGTTGCAGCGAGCAGGGGCTACTCTTTGTTGCAGTGTGTGGGCTTCTCATTGCGGTGGCTTCTCTTATTGCAGAGCACGGGCTCTAGGTGCATGGCCTTCAGTAGTTGTGGCACGCCGGCTCCATAGTTGTGGCATGCCGGCTCCACAGTTGTGGCTCACCAGCTGTAGAGCAAAGGCTCAGTAGTTGTGGCACACGGCTTAGCTGCTCCGTGGCATCGGGGCTCGAACCTGTGTCCCCTGCATTGGCAGGTGGTCTTAACCACTGCACCACCAGGGAAGTGCCAAGAATAAAGTTTTAAAAATACATTTCATCTCACCTAAAAATGTGAAATTTGGGGGTTTTACAGTTATCAGGTGAAAACTGTCAGGGAGAAAAGTTCACTGAAAACGTTATCCTAAATCCAAAACAAATTGTGTTGTTTAAGCTTTCAACCTGAATCACTAACTATAGGCCACTGTTTCTGTAACTGGGACTTTATGATCATGTTCCCTATCGATAAAGACTCCTGTATAAGACTACTTAAGGTAGTCTTATCACCTACCTCTTAAGTTTGGTGGACATATTAAGAAAGGAGCGATTACTCACTTTTGTCAGTGCCTAGAAATTAGCACCAAATGGTGACTTTATTTTTTAAAGTTCTGGACTGGCTTTCCAGCCTTTTCTACGAGTTACCAGCAACAGGTACGGATTACGTACACACAGAATCACTGAACATTTAAAGAGAAGAGTGATGTGGTCAGGTGTATGCTTCTCAATAACAGCATAGTTCAGAACAGGAACTGGCAAACCATAACACATGGGCCAAATCTGGCCTGTTGCCTGTTTTTGTAAAGTTTCATTGGAATGCAACCCCGTCCACTCACTTATGTGTTTGTCTTTGGCTGTTTCACACTATAATGGCAGAGATGCATAGTTATGACAGACCATAGAGCCTGCAAAACCCAAAATACTGGGTTAGCCCAAAAAGTTCGTTTGGGTTTTTCCATAACATCTTATGGAAAGACCCACATGAACTTTTTGACTAACCCAGTATTAGCTAGCTGGCCCTTTACAGAGAAAGCTTACCAACTCCTGGATTAGAATATCATAAAACTGATAAAAAAAGAAAACCACAAGCCACACTGATCATGTAGGCTCATTGGGCAACTATTATATTAGGCCAAGAAATACCTGCACGAGGGCAGAAAAATACAAGAAACCCACGTAATCATCTATGAACATGGTAACATTTGTTCCTAGACTAAGTAAGCCAAGTTTACCCTAAGTTAGCTGCTGGGCATATTAATAAGTACAGCATCAAACAAAGTGCTTTGCTTTTTATTATCCTTGTGAGAGAAAACATTTTAACATCAAGTGGGTACGTGACTCGTGCGGAATTTACCAGAAACCAGAGGGTGAAAAACCAGTGCCCAATTCTACATTTTGATCTACATTTTGATTTGAACGTCAAACGTAATTAACGTTTGACGTCCTTCATTAATGAGATGTCTTAGAGATATCAGACGGCCCTCTTTGGGGACACGCGAGAGAGTTATCTTCCTTCAGGAAAGGAAGTGACAACATAAGGACCTGGCTGTTCTGGCATTACTGCATTCAGTCGTCAACTGTGGATTGCTTTCTTTCACATCCTTCAACAGCTTCTGGATTTCCACGGTAGGTTTGTCTATCTTCAACCTGAGTGTCCTTAGGGGGCCATTCTTCTGTTTTAAAGCCTCCAGGAGCACCATTATGCCACTCTGCCCCAAGGTGTTCTGGCCCAGGTCCAGAGTTTCTAGGCTCTGGTTGCTAATAAGAGCAGAGGCGAGATCCTGGCAACTGAAAGGGGTGATGGAACAGCCCCAGAGCCTGTTGAGAAAGTACAGAAACCCACTCATTTAAGCGAGCTCTTATGGAGAATCTACCGTGTTGCCAGGCGTACTCTTACTTGCTGAGGACCTAGCAGCAAAGAAATGAAACTTATTTTCTTCATGGGGCTTATTTTAGTGACATCAGGACACGCTGTATTGAAGACGGGATATAACAGTGTCCGAACAAAATAAACAGGATTAGTATTAACAGGACAGAGGAGGATTAAGCAGATTTGTGATGGTCAGTGAATTCCACGTTGCAAAGATGATAGGAGGGGGGAAAGTAAAATACAGGGTGAACCATTATGACATTTGGGGGAAGGAAGCCAGTGTAGCTGAAATGCCAAGCTAGCAGGAAAGTAGAAAGAGCGGCTCATAACTATTTATAGGATCCCGGAGAATCCTGTAGGCTATTAGTGATACGAGGAGCTTTTGAAAGACAAGTGCTATGGCCTGGCTTGCAAGTTGAAAGACACCTCGGGGGTGATGGGTTGAGAACCAACGCTGGGAAATCAAGAACTGAAACGTGCAGACTACATTCAGAGATAATGCAATAAATCCAGATGACATACTGAGTGAAGTCAGTCAGACAGACAGAGACAGATATCTTTATATGATATCGCTTACATGTGGACTCTAAAGAAACGGTACAAATGAACCTATTTACAAAACAGAAATTGAGTCACAGATGTAGAAAATAAACTTGTGGTTACCAGAGGGGATAGGTGTCGGGGAGGGATAAATTGGGAGATTGGGATTGACACATACACCCCACTATATATAAAACAGGTAACTAATAAGAAACGACTGAATAGCACAGGGAACTCTATTCAATACTCTGTAATGGGGGCTTCCCTGGTGGCGCAGTGGTTGAGAATCTGCCTGCTAATGCAGGGGACACGGGTTCGAGCCCTGGTCTGGGAAGATCCCACATGCCACGGAGCAACTAGGCCCGTGAACCACAACTACTGAGCCTGCGCGTCTGGAGCCTGTGCTCCGCGACAAGAGCGGCCGCAATAGTGAGAGGCCCGCGCACCGCGATGAAGAGTGGCCCCCGCTTGCCACGACTAGAGGAAGCCCTCGCACAGAAACGAAGACCCGACACAGCAAAAATAAATTAATTAATAAACTCCTACCCCCAACATCTTCTTTAAAAAAAAAACAAAACTCTGTAATGACCTATATGGGAAGAGAATATAAAAACGAGTGGGTATATGTATATGTGTAACTGACTCACTTTGCTGTACACCTGAAACTAACACAACACTGTAAATCAACTCTAGTCCAATAAAAAATTTAAAAATCCCTACGACAGCTGGTAACCCAGATGAAGCATTAGTGGTATAGGTGGTGGGGTGGTAGATGGTCATCTCGTAGGTATCTGGAAAGAGGTGCCTCAAGAGGGTTTGAATGTGAGCTGTGAAATGATGAAAGGAACAAAAGAGCAGAAGCCTGAGAGTCAGTGAACAGAATAGGGTTGTATTCTCTTAGACGTTACAGCTAGTTGAGTTATTTAAGCTAGTGATGCGTTATGTTACCATGGCCTCCATTCCTTATCTCCTTTTCCCAGAGCTCCTTCTAGACCAAAAGATGTCTCTGCCGGTGGAGGACAGAGGGAGACACTCTTTGGGGTAGATACAGCTCATGCCAGCTTATATATACCCTAGTTAGCCAACTCAAGCCAGAATGACCCCTCAGCCACATGCCCTTGACCGCTGCACCACCTGCACCTCTACCTATATGTGGAGTCTCTAACCATCCTTGTGCTGCAACAGGCACTATGGTAGCCACTGGAGATACAGAAAATAGATTCGATTTCTCTCTAAATAAAATTAACAAGTAAACGGATGAACAAAACATGGTATATCCATACAATGGGATATTACGTAGCCATATAAGGAATGACATGCTTACACCTGCTACAATGTGGATAAAACCTTGAAAATATTATGCTAGCTGAAAGAAGCCTGACACAAAAAGCCACATATGAAATATACAGAATAAGTTAATCTTTAGAACAGAAAACACATTTGCGGTTGCCAGGAGTGGAAGGGAATGGAGAGTGACTGCTTCGTGGGAATAGTTCTCCACTGGGGATGATGAGAAAGTTCTAGAACTGGACGGTGGCAGTGGTTACACAAGTATAGTCGGTGCCACTGAGCTGTTTACTGAGCGTACAATGGTTCATTTACGTCGTGTGAATATCCCCCTCCATAAAAATAAGTGTTTAAAAAATGTATAGTGCTGGTGACTGGGCAGGACAATACTAGAGTCAATTTATTATTTGTTATAGAGAACAGATCATGCTGCAATAGGATAGTCAGAAGACCTCTGAACTATCAAAACTAGTTTGTTCTCCCCCAAAATAACTAAGGTGAGGAGTATTGGCAGACAGCCCTGCAAACTCCAGGGTCTGTGTGCTCTAGTCAAAAAAAAAAAGAAAAAGAAAAAGAAAAACCCACGAAATACGAATGAACTTATTTACAAAACAGAAATAGACTCAGACATAGAAAACAAATGTATGGTTACCAAAGGGGAAAGGTGGGGGGAGGGATAAACTACGAGTTGGGGATGAAAATATACACGGTACTATATATAATATCGATAACACACAAGGACCCACTGTACAGCACAGGGAAGTATGCTCAGCATCTTATAAAAACCCACAACGGAAAAGAATCCAAAAAAGCATATATATATAAAGCTGAATCACTTTGCTGTACACCGGAGACACAAGATTGTAAATCAACTATATTCAATAAAAATTTTTTTAAAACACTAAGGACAAAGACCTTGCAGTGAGAGAAAGAATTGGGTGGGTTCTGGGAACTGAGGGGCTAGTTGAGTGACGTACACACCAAGGTGGGGAGAAAAGCGTGAGATGGAGTTCGACAGACGGGAAGGGGGGTCCCTCATAGACAATGGTCTGAGACTTGGTAGCAAATATGGATTCACATGCTTGTTATATAAAAATGTGTACAATGAGGACTTCCCTGGTGGCGCAGTGGTTGAGAGTCCGCAGGGGACGCGGGTTCGTGCCCCGGTCCAGGAAGATCCCACATGCCACGGAGCGGCTGGGCCCGTGAGCCATGGCCGCTGAGGCTGCGCGTCCGGAGCCTGTGCTCCGCAACGGGCGAGGCCACAACCGTGAGAGGCCTGCGTACCACCAAAAAAAAAAAAAAAAAATGTGTACAATAAGGCTGATGAGTTTACAAAGTAATTCACCCAGTGCATTAATTGTGCTGTTATCAGGATGGGTCATAGAGAAGACTTGTCCATTCTGTAAGGGAAGAGTTAAATGTCCTAAGTCACAGCCAATTAATATCAGATGGGATCTGAACCAACTTCTGATGTCAAAGCCCCTGTTCAATGCCTTCGCTATGGTGCTGGGCTCGTGTTCACTGATCCAGAGAGATGAATTCCCATCTGTGGATACCACGGATTTTCCTCTCCAACTTCTACTTCAGAGGAGCTCAGACTTGACTGAGTATTAGAACCAACCAGAATATCCTTAAAAATCCTGCTACCTGGGCTCCACTTCCTCCAAGATTGAGTTCATCTGGGGGAAGCATGACCATCAAGAATTTTAAGTTCCCCAGGCACAGCCAAGATGCCAGGATAGTAAACAAAACCACCGTATATCCTAGTGTGCTCTCTGCTCAAGGCTCAGGAAGTCTTTACATTTATATAACCCAGATTCTCTTTCCAGTAGGCTTCTGGTTGCAAAGCAGGTTGCGTCAATGAGATACCTTTGACAGACTTGGAAGAGAGAAGTGATTCAAAGCTCGCCATCCTGTTGGGGCCATTGCCTATCCTGAGGGTAGTATCCATCTACGGTTCCCTGGGTATTGAACTGGAGTAGGCCCACTGTGTCCTGATCACTGGACCCCACCAGAAGCAGCGTGATCTGAAGTCTACTTCACTGGAGGCTCTTCCCACTTAAAACCACTCCCTCTGGCCCTCTGATCAACTTTGTAAACACCCAGTTACCTGTATTCAGTTTCCACTCCTAAAACTGGACAAAGCGATACTATCGCAGTTTGTGTTCCAAAATCTCCGAAAGATTAAATATTTCCCAAACACCTTTAAAATGAAGAAAGCAACTTACCCTAGACATTTCAGGTTACAGTTTGGTTTCTTCAAAGCTTCAGAGAGAGAGCACAGTCCAGTGGCTATGGGGTTGAAACTCAGGTCCAAGTCTGTCAGGCTGGAGTCTCCTTGGAGAAGCTTTGAGATGTATTTGCAGCCATGTCTGTTTATGTTGCAATGACACAACCTACAATTACAGTCATATGAAGAGAAGTCTATTATCCCTCTGTGACACACATCCTGTGAAACGGCTGTTACTTCCAGCATCACTTAGATGCCGCCTTGAGCCATACGCTTTCAGGTAGGCTACACAGAAACATAAAACACATGGAATGATGGTTACATTATGTCGACCCTGCCTAGATGGTAGTGTTAAACTGGCCTCTGTCTGCCACCTGTTATTATGGAGAAACAGACACGCATCTCCTAAGATACAGGTTTTCCTAGCATGATAGCATATCACATAGGTGAAGGGCTCTGGATTCAGACAGACCTGAGACTGGATCTGAGGCCTCACTTATTTTCTGCACGGTTAGGTCATTGGGATTCCATTCTCCCTGTCTTATGTTTTATTTCAAGTCCTGTATTTAACTGTCCCAGCATAACCGTGGTACATCAAATGCACAACATTCATGATACGAGTGGCTATGTCTCTAATTTAAACACTGCAGACTCCTCCAAGCTTAGACTCCTACAGCTCCTCCTGACCATAGAGAAGGACGTTCCCATGGTACAGTTAGGCAGGTGGACTGCAATCATCCCTAAAAAGCCTTGTGCCCCACGTACGGCATAACAGCGACAGAGGCTGTAGAGCCTGAAGTGACATGACAAACAGCAGGTGGATGATAACTGGACCAAAAGATGCCATGCTTTGTATGATGTGACACCTGAAAACCATACTTGAATCTAGGGCGCTTGGGGAGAGAAGTTAAAACAAAATCTAAAATTAAGTTTTGACAGCCTACAAACTGGAGGTTTGGTCAAACATTGCCTTTATGTATTTAAGGTAGTGATCACTGATACCTCAGTTCATAGAGGGGGCGTCATACCCACTACACAGATGTAACCATAGGCAAACTAAGTGACTAAACTTTGGTTTTCTAATTAGCTAATTGGAAAAATTGAAACAAAGGTAACTACTGCTTGTGGTTGTAAGGACTAAAAAGTCTCAAAATTTAGTAGAGCACCTGATACACAATAAGCGCTTACAAGTATCAGACGTTTGCTGTTGTGGAGACGCCTAAAGCAACTCTGTAAAACAGAGCAGCCTATGTAGTGACGTCATACGGAAAATTTTATATTCTTCTAATGAATACCGTTGAAGCAGAAATATGACCTTCTCCTTTTCTCTCTCTGCCACTATAAATTGCATACCTGGCTCCCTCTCCGGTCTTGAACCCTACTATATAACTCAATCCACTCCCACCTGCTGGAAGATGTCATGTGAATTTTCAGAATATACACAGAACATCGGACCTGAGAACCAGCTGCTTATCTCAAATTCTCAGAAGAGGAAGAGGCTGGAAGGTCAACCTTACTCTTACAAGACATGCAAACATTAACATCTGTTTCTAACTGTTCTTTCCCTAATTTCCACCAGGATCTTGCTGGTTTCATTCAAGTGGAATTACTAAGTACTCTTGTTTCTGTCCTACTTGAATCCAGGTGTGTGAATGTACATACGATATACACACATGCACACACAATACACACCATGTGCGTGCACACACACACACACACACACACACACACAAGCCAGCAGGGACTTACACCAAGGTCTGTAGTTGACATTCGGGGTAACTCAAGCCCTCACACAGAATTTTCACCCCGCCAACGCCAAGGTTGTTTTTGGCCAAGCACAGGTGGGTCAGCCTCTGGTTGACAATCAAAGCAGAAGACAGCTCCTCGCAACAGGCTTCTGTAAGGTGACAGTTTTCCAACCTGCAAAAGCAACACGTAAGTGGTAAGACATTTCCAAAGTCCAAACTTCCCAGCTGACAGCCCTTAATGCAAGTCTCCACCCTCTCTATGCTGTGCTAGTGATCAAAGCCTGAAGGACCAGAAATGAGACAAGGGCAAGCAAAAATGCATGCATCATCTACCTGGGACCAAAATGGGCACCAGGGGTCTCCATCTGTAAGAGGTCCCATAGGGTTTGCCCTGTAAGTCTGGTCTTCCCATTGCTTTTCTCTGTGTGGCCCCAGACCTAAAATGAAGATGTTTCATGGGAAGAGAGGAGAGACTTACGACAATTTCTGCAGGAAACACGTTGGGTGTCTCAGAGTCGAACACAGCAACTTGACACCCTCATCCGGAAACTCACTGGCCGTGAGATCCAGGCATTTCAGGGACTGGTTGATTTTGAGGGCCGAGGAGAAATCAGCCCACCGCTGAGGGGTGTCAGAACAAGAACCCAACCTGCGGGATACATGGGGGAAAGTCATTCTTCTGGGAGGACAAAGAGACCCCGTCAGCTAATTATGCTTGGAGACTGTATCCTTGATTCTCACGTCATTCTACTCCAACATGCGTCAGACCCTGGCCTGAACTATTAGAGAACTGATCTCCTTTGCTTCTTCAAGTATCTCTGTGGCCATTTGATCATCATCCAGCCTCATCTCTAAGAGGAAAATAACAATCAGTAATACAATTCTGTGTGAAGTTTCACCAACATGGCCTATTTCTCAAACCCCACTTTTTATATCACTTTCCCTGACCTGAGTCTATCCCAATCCCACTTAAATTTAAATGTGATTCTATTGAAAAAAAAAAAAATTTGATGCCTGGGGACTTCCCTCGTGGTCCACTGGTTAAGACTTTGCCTTCCAATGCAGGGGGTGCGGGTTCGATCCCTGGTCGGGGAGCTAAGATGCCACATGCCTCGGGGCCAAAAAACCAAAACATAAAACAGAAGCAATATTGTAACAAATTCAATAAAGACTTTTAAAATGGTCCACATCAAAAAAAAACTTTTTTAAAAAAACTGATGCCTGAAACTCAAAAAGTTCAATTTCGTAAGTTATTAGGGAATATGTTAATTAAAACAAGGAGATACAATTTGACACTTAGGCAGCCATGTCCCAAGTTTGAGTTTGTGTTGCAAGAACAAGAATAACTGCAAACTCCTTCTGTTGATGGAAAATACGAATGTGGTACAGCTATTTTAGAGAACATTGAGGCAATCCATTATACTGGGTTGGAAACTCAGCTGCTCTTGTAGACACAAATCAGAGTACAGGACTCCAGGACAAGCTTGTTTGAATAATGGCTCTGCCCCTAATGTTCAAAATATTCACGTTAGTTAAGCTTTTTAATATTCTTTTTTCCCTTCATCTGTTCTTTGGGGAGAGATGATACTTTGCCACGCAAATAAAGGATATAATCAATCCATATACTCTACCTATTAGAATGTATGTCATAAGCAAAACTGGAGTTCTTAAGATCAGTACCTTTCTTCCCTCAAAGCTTAACCTATAACAAGGACATTATAAGTTTACGTAATTTCAATACAAGGTAGAATGTAAAGTGTCTCAAATCAATGAGCTAAAAAACAGGAGATTCTGCACCAGCCATTTGTCATTCTGGAGCTTCGGTATATCCACTTAGAAATGTCATTTATCACAACTTCAGAGTAAACATTTACTTTTACACTATGTCAACTAGTAAACATCTTTGCCACAAATTATGAAGTATAATTTCCTCAAGAATTTCAAAACGCATGTTTTCTATAAATTTGAGATTTTATAAAACACACAAACACTAAATCTAAGTCTGTAATCTGATTTTTTTAATATCATGCTTAAAACGTGTACTTTCAATTGTTATTTCACTACCCACATTTCTCAAGACTCTTTTGCGTCAACTCTACTTGTTCGAATAAAAATCTAAAGAAACAAACAAACAAAAACACACTTCAGAGTAATAGATGTTTTTTCTAATTTAATGAAAGACAGCACCATCAGGAATCATCCATAATGGTAAGAGCTGACATTTGTGCCTGGTGCCTATGCAAAGCAGTTCACATCCCATGTTTCATTCAGTCCTCAAAACCCCATATCATGGATGAGGGAACAGCTCAACATCATACAGGTCATAAAGGTCAAAGCAAGGTTCCCAAATCCAAAAACCTGTGTCACTAGCCAGTACCTCACGTTGCTACTCAACTAAGTAGAGGGGGATGGAATGGTACCCTAACGATGGGTGATGATAATCAGAGCACTCATTACGAGATCTCATTGAGGATAAGGGAATCTGTCAAACCAGGGAGCTACCAGGAACCAGAACACTCGATGTTTCTAGAGCATCACTGAGTGACCAATTAAGGCTGATGGCTACTCTGAATCACAACAGGCAGGTAACATGCAACCTGAGATGCCATGTCCCTAAGCTAGAAGATGACACAGAATTCCGAGTGTTTGCTTGCATTCAGGACTCATTATTCAATGCAGAAGGCTAGCTGGCTGGGGAAAGACTACAGGCTGCCATGCCATCCACATTCTATGTGAGAATATGTTCCCGTTTAACGTGGTACCCAATCAGAGTGGCCACCCTCTTCTTTCCTGTTTACAGAGCTCACAGCATCCTTTCCATGCTGAGAACAGCAACGACAGGAGACCTACTTCAGATGCTGCAGATCACATCTTGGATGTTTCAGGATCTCACTCAACAGCAGCAACAGCATCTCATCACCGTGGACACTGCCTTCCAGAACCAGGTGTGTCAGAGGCTTCTTACCAATGAAAGCCAGACAGAAGTCCCGATAAGCATCGGCAGGGGAGACGTTCTTAATCCTAGGGAAAATAAAAAGAAGGGATTCATTCCATCTTGGGTGCTGTAGATGGTTGGTGCTGAGAGCACACAGTGGGATGAGAAGTCACAAGTCAAGACAGGGATGGCGAGCTGGTCTGGTAAGCTGAACTGAAGGACGAGTCAACCGAGCGATAGCTGGATAGAGGAGGACAGACTACCAACGGATGTAGTGTGTGGTGATGGGAAGGAAGATGGAATTGGATGGCAAAGGGCTTGATACGCCCTTGTCTTTGCTCACGCCGATCTTCAGAGAAAATATCCCCATCCTTATTTTTTGTATTGGGGTGACACATTTTGCTCCCCTACAAAATGTCTCTTTGACGTGAATATTATTTCACGCTGAAAACAACCAAGGCTGAAAATGCTCAGGAAGAGACTTTGACCTTTCCCCTAACTTCCTGAATAACTTAGATAGAGGGACTGTTCCAGGAATAGAGCTATCACCAGAGATCTCTGCAAAGAATATGGGCTAGGTGTGGTAGGGTCAACTCTTAGAGATCAGAGCGCACCCTGTGTCCCATTGTCTCTGCAAGTCCCAGCAAACATTTGTTTAGCAAACATTTGCTTTTCCATCCCCATGTGAATTGCCTTCCTCTCCTCTGAAGCCTCAAACAACTGCCCCCAACATCCTCTATCATCTTTAGCTCAAGGTAGTATTTAACGTGAAGATTTCAGCCATTGGGGTAGTTACTCAATTTTTCTGGGTCTCTCCCATGTACACACGCTATTGAATGTTTGATTTTCTCCTGTTAATCTGTCTCATGTCAAATTCACTTTTACACCAGCCAGAACCTAGAAGTACAGAGAAAATTTTCTTCCTCTCAGACAACATTTTATCCTTTATTTCTTTCAACATTCAGTTCACATACAACTTTCCCTCCTCCCTCAATGCCTGACTTTTTCCAGTAAGAATAAATCACTTCCTACTTTATCCCCATGTGGTCATGTGCATTTCCACAAAGCAGTTTTCATTTAGGCTACAGTAAGTTGTGGTTTATAAGTTAGCAAATAAATTACAGACTCCTTAAAAGTAAGTACCATTAAGAGTTGTTGGGCTTCCCTGGTAGTGCAGTGGTTGAGAGTCCGCCTGCCAATGCAGGGGACACGGGTTCGTGCCCCGGTCCGGGAAGATCCCACATGCCGCGGAGCCGCTGGGCCCACGAGCCATGGCCACTGAGCCTGCGCGTCTGGAGCCTGTGCTCCGCAACGGGAGAGGCCACAACACTGAGAGGCCCGCGTACCGCAAAAAAAAAAAAAAAAAAAAAAAAAAGAGAGTTGTTTGGTGTTCACTTCAGTAGTACCTATACTAAAATTGGAATGATACAGAGATTAGCATAACCCCGGTGCAAGGATGACAAGCAAATTTGTGAAGCATTCCATATTTTTCATAAAAACCAAACAGAGAACACAAGTATAATACAAAAGAAAATCAAACCACAAAAGGAAAGACAAAAAGAAAAAGGAAGGGACAAAGAAGAAATACAAAGGGAAAACAAGGTTTAAAATGGCAATAAATACAAATCTATTAATAATTACCTTAAGTGTCAAGGGACTAAATGTTCCAATCAAAAACACAGAGTGGGGGCTTCCCTGATGGCTCAGTGGTTAAGAATTCACCTGCCAATACAGGGGACACGGGTTCAAGCCCTGGTCTGGGAGCATCCCACATGCTGTGGAGCAACTAAGCCCATGCGCCACAACTACTAAGCCTGTGCTCTAGAGCCTGTGAGCCACAACTACTGAGCCCACGTGCCACAATTACTGAAGCCCACACGCCTAGAGCCCACACTCTGCAACAAGAGAAACCACCGCAATGAGAAGCCCACACGGAGCAAAGAAGACCCAACGCAGCCAAAAATAAATTAATTTTTTTGAAAAAGATAACTATCCTTTTAAAAAAAAAAACACAGAGTGGCAGATTGGATAAAAACAAGAGCCTACAATATACTGCCTATAAGAGACCCACTTAAGGGCAAAGGACATACATAGATTCAAAGTGAGGGGATGGAAAAAGATATTTCATGCAAACAGAAATGACAAGAAAGCAAGGGTAGCAGTACTCAGACAAAACAGACTTTAAAACAAAGGCTATAAAGAAAGATAAAGGACACTATATAATGATAAAAGGATCATTACAAGAAAAAGCTATTATACTCATCAACATATATGTACCCAATATAGGAGTGCCCAAATACATACAACAAATAGTAACAGACATAAAGGGAGAAATTGACAGGAATACAATAACAGTAGGAGACTTTAACACCACAGTGATATCAATGGACAGATTTTCTAGACAGAGAATCAATAAAGCAACAGAGATCCTAAATGATACAATAGAAGAGTTAGACTTAATTGATATTTTCAGGACATTACATCCCCCTCCCCAAAAAAACAGAATACACATTCTTTTCAAGTACACATGGAACAGTCTCTAGGATTGACCACATACTAGGGCACAAAAAAAGCCAACACATTTAAGAGTATAGAAATTATTTCAAGCATCTTTTCTGACCACAAAGGCACGAAAGTAGAAATCAACAACAGAAAAAGAAACAAGAAAAAACAATTACATAGAGAATAAACAAGTTGCTACTAAAAAAACCAATTGGTCAATGATGAAATCAAAGAAGAAATTTTAAAATACCTGAGACAAATGACAATGAAAACAGCCCTGCAAGGGCTTCCCTGGTGGCGCAGTGGTTGAGAGTCCGCCTGCTGGTGCAGGGGACACGGGTTCGTGCCCCGGTCCGGGAAGATCCCACATGCCGTGGAGCGGCTGGGCCCGTGAGCCGTGGCTGCTGAGCCTGTGTGTCCGGAGCCTGTGCTCCGCAACAGGAGAGGCCACAACAGTGAGAGGCCCACGTACTGCAAAAAAAAAAAAAAACCTGCAAAACCTATGGCATGCAGCAAAAGCAGTTCTTAGATGGAAGTTCATAGTGATACAGGCCTTCAAGAAACAAGCTAAATCTAAAATTAACAACCTAACCCACCACCTAAAAGAATTAGAAAAAAAGAACAAAACCTAACCTAAAATCAGCAGAAGTTAGGAAATAAAGATCAGAGAGGAAATAAATAAAATAGAGATTAAAAAATAGAAAAAACAATCAATAAAACCAAGAGCTGGTTCTCTGAAGGAGTAAACAACATTGACAAACCTCTGGCCAGGCTTACCAAGAAGAAAACAGAAGACCCAAATAAACAGAAGAAATGAAAGATGAGAAATCACAACTGATACTGCAGAAATACTAAAAAACATAAGAGAATGCTATGAACAATTATATGCCAACAAATTTGATAACCTAGAAGAAACAGACAAGTTTCTGGAAACATACAGCCCACCAAAACTGAATCAAAAAGAAATAGATAATTTGAACAAACTGATCACTAGAAGTGAAATAGAATCCATAATTTTTAAAACTCCCTACAAACACAAGTCCATGACCAGATGGCTCCACAGGCGAATTCTACTAAACTAACGAAGAACTTATACTGATCCTTCTCAAACTCTTCCAAAAGAATGAAGAGGAAGGAACACTCCCAAAGACATTCTATGAAGCCACAATCACCCTGATACCAAAACCAGACAAAGACACCACCAAAAAAAAGAAAATTACAGGCCAATATCTTTGATGAATATGGATGCAAACATTCTCAAAATATTAGCAAACCAAATCCAACAACACATAAAAAAGGTCATACACCACAACCAAGTTAAATTCATCCCAGGGTCACAAGGATCATTCAACATATGCAAAATCAATGTGATACACCACATCAACAAAAGAAAAGACAAAAAACACATAATCATCTCAATAGATGCAGAAAAAGCATTTGATAAAATTCAACACCCATTCATGATAAAAACTTACAAAAGTGGGTATAGAGGGAATATCTCAACATAATAAAAGCTATTTATAATGAACCCACAGTCAACATAATACTCAATGGTGAAAAGCTGAAACCCTTTCCACTAAAATCTGAAACAAGAATAGGATGCCCACTCTCACTTCTATTCAACATAGTATTGGGAGTCCTAGCCACAGAAATCAGACAAGAAAAAGAAAAGTAATCCAAATTGGAAGGGAAGAGGTAAAATTGTCACTACATGAGGATGACATACTATATTAAAAAAAACCCTAAAGACTCCACACAAAAACTACTAGAACTGATCAACAAATTCAGCAATGTAGCATGATACAAGATTAACATACAGAAATCGCTTGCATTTTTTTACACTAACAATGAAATGTAAACAAATGTAAACAAACAATCCCTTTTTAAATCACATTTAAAAAGTAAAATACTTACAAATAAACCTCACCAAGGAGGTGAAAGACATATATGCTGAGATCTACAAAACATTAATAAAGGAAACTGAAGACGATTCAAAGAAATGGAAAGATACCCCACGCTCTTGGATTTGAAGAATTAATATATCTAAATTGGCCATACTACCCAAAGCAGTCTACAGATTCAATGTAATCACTATCAAATTATCCATTACATTTTTCACAGAATTAGAACAAATAATCCTAAAATTTATGCAGAACCACAAAAGACCCAGAATTTCCAGAGCAATCCTGAGGAAAAAGAAAAATCAGGAGGCATAACCGTCCCAGACTTCAGACAATACTACAAAGCTACAGTAATCAAAATAGCATGGTACGGGCACAAAAAAACAGACATATACACAAAGAAAGAAAACTACAGGCCAATATCACTGATGAACATAGATGCAAAAATCCTCAACAAAATACTAGCAAACAGAATCCAACAGCACATGAAAAGGATCATACACCATCATCAAGTGGGGTTTATTCCAGGAATGCAAGGATTCTTCAATATACGCAAATCAATCAACATGATACACCATATTAACAAATTGAAGGAGAAAAACCATATGATCATCTCAACAGATGCAGAGAAAGCTTTCAACAAAATTCAACATCCATTTATGATAAAAAAACCCACAGAAAGTAGGCATAGAGGGAACTTTCCTCAACATAATAAAGGCCATGTATGACAAACCCACAGCCAACATCGTCCTCAATAGTGAAAAACTGAAACCATTTCCACTAAGATCAGGAACGACACAAGGTTGCCCACTCTCACCACTCTTATTCAACATAGTTTTGGAAGTTCTAGCCACAGCAATCAGAGAAGAAAAAGAAATAAAAGGAATCCAAATCGGAAAAGAAGAAATAAAGCTGTCACTGTTTGCAGATGACATGATACTATACATAGAGAATCCTAAAGATGCTACCAGAAAACTACTAGAGCTAATCAATGAATTTGGTAAAGTAGCAGGATACAAAATTA